TAACTAATGCGTTGGAACGGGCGCGAAAGCTTTTCAAAGTTAAGCTCCCATTCACAAATTCACAATTCACAAAGAGCGCTTCGCCGTTAAGCGCACCGCCCCCCCTCCCCCCACTGAGTGTTATTTAGGGTACGCATATCCATGTTCCCTCCTTTTGAAAACAGCCCCCTAAGTCCGGTGTGTAAAGTCAATACGGGCCGGACGTTTGTGTACTAGACCAGCCGGACTTTGGTGCGTGAAAAGTACTCCTTTATAACAATAAGTCTCCAAACAATAGCCAGATTTGAAATTCATATTGTGAGCATGTGCTTAAATAGTTATATCGGGATTTCCTGGTTATATTGAAGACGTGGGCTAATATTGTGTACATGTGTGCCCAGTATTTCTCCCTGATTGTTCGACCAACATTAAATTGCTATTGTCCAGCTGACTTTTCTATAGGCTTTTCTACCCTCGGCGCTGAAGGGCAGTGGCGGATCCATGGGGGGGGGGGGGGGGTTATTTTTGTTTACCTTTTCTGGGGTTTGCCCCCCCCCGGCGCTCAAGGGGGGGGGGGGGGGTGCAAATTTTAAAATTTTCGAGGGCAAAACAAATGTGCTCACTACCCCCCCCCCCCCCCCCCCCCCCCCCCACTGAGCGACTTTTCGGCCGGCGCGATTTTCACATTTTCGGGAGCAAAAAAAAAAAAAATTGTGCTCACTACCCCCTCCCCCCTCCCTCCCCTCCCTCCCCTCCCCCCTCCCTCCCCTCCCCCCCCCCCCAACTAAGCGACTTTTCGGCCGGCGCGATTTTCACATTTTCAAGAGCAAAAACAAAAATTGGGCGCCCTCCCCTAAGAAATCCTGGATCCGCGCCTGCTAAAGGGATTGCGGAAAATTTAATCACTATTTGTGTTTCGTGATGACCCAGTAGAAGAAGAATAAGGGCTAACCCCCCCCCCCTAAAGAAAAAATGGCCCAACACAACGCAATCATTATAAATTCCGTCTACTACTTGATACCAACACGCGCATGATGGATCATTATTTAGACAGCTAGTGAGACAGTTCTTTTACGAGAAGCAATTGAACGAATTGCCATGGCTTGTATTATTTGTTTTAGAACGCACTACGCTCTTTCGATACCACGTGGCCCCAATTAAGCACAATATATACGTATTTCAGTTCTTCTCAACAATGACCTAGATCTAAAACTGGCCGCGGCTGTAACCCCCCCCCCCCTTCTTCGTAAAGAAATATTCGTTAAAATTCTTTGGAACAGAATGATAAACTAATTTCTTCTTGAGATATGTTCGAAGTGAAATTTCAAACATTATTTCCTGGTAACGCTCTTCTTTTTTGATGCATGTTCTATTCTTACGATTTAGGCATAATTTATGTTGATTTGCAACTGATAATCTCCCTGGGAGTTTTGCGATATCCCCGATGATACGGGTACAGTGTATTTAATTTTGTTTGTAACATTAGTGTTTTGCAAAGAAAGAACATTCTGAAAATGAGCGTCTTCCTTCTAACGAAACATATTGATGATGTTCCCGACAATACGGATATCATATGCATAAACAAAAATCGTAATACAGATAAAACGCTTTTTAAATCAAATTCAAGGAGAAACTACGACATTCTTGATTAAGTATCATTTTCAACATCAAGGATTTAAATATACGTTATCTAATTTTAAGAAGATTCAAAGGATCTATGTATTGAAATAACAGACTGATGATATAATTATATGATTTATAATGATCATACGACAGAACTGTTTACAAGATGCAACGAAAATTAAAGAAAACAAAACATGCGATAACATCGCTAGAGAAAATATACACAAATTTAATGTAATATGAATCAAATAAAGTGTCAAAACATGCACGAGGAAAACAATGTCAGAGAGAGTGGGGTAAGTATAAAATAAAGTTGTTTTTGTCGTGAACAAATCAATTTGTACACTCTAAGAAATATTGAGTAAAATTTTACTCAAAATGAAGTCGTATGGGCACATGGTCAGAATTGAGTAAAGGTTTTTAATCAACTAGATGGGTAATATTTTACCCATTATTGAGCTTTGTTTTACTCAGTGAATAGTAAAGTGTGTTTTACTCAAATTTCAGGTAATTTTCTTTTTACTAAAATAAGGCCAGAAAACTCCTTTCACAATGCTCCTTGTGGTTTAATTTATGTTTTACATCAAATTTGACCATGTGTCCTTTTTCATATGTGTCATGTGTAAACGTCATTTTAGTCATAAATTAGCAATTCATTATGTAAATCAATTTTTATTTGGTAATGTCATCATGGACCCCAATGTTCCTTTTTACAGGACATATCTTTAAACTCTGCTGAAAATGAACTCCAAGGCCAAGACGGAATGATGTTATGTTATGAAATTATGCATATAAATAGAGCCTCAAAACCAGTATGCATGAAACTCACAGAAAAGTGGAATATGCCAGTATATAATTGTCCAAATTAAAAAAAAAAACATATCTGAAAAAGACTCCATAACGTTACAAAGCAGGCGGTACCTTAATGCCGGTGTGTAGTTTACAAAAAGATCTTTTAATTTCTTCATCTTATAACAAGAAAGCAAATATTAAAATGCATATCAAAACACAGAACATTAAAAAATCTAAGGAAATTCAGCCTAAAAAAAAAAGAAGGGAGAAAAAAAGAAGCCCAACATTTATTATTGTAGAAACAAGAAGTAAAAGGTAGTTGCATAATTAGAAAAATAAGACACTTTTGTATTTAGCAATTAGAGATAATGATCAGATGATTACAGTCTACCCTCTAAAATTTGACTTCAAAAGAACTTCAATAATCTGCAGAGCAAACATGAAAAAATGGCTCTTGTTCTTTAGCACTTAACACGCTTAGGAAAGAAAAAATACAATTTTTTTTAATCTTCCATTTTTCAAAAATTTTCATATTCAAGCTGATTCTAACAAATTTTCGCAGCATGAAAGAGTATGCAATTTTGTGTCAAAATTGAAGAAGGCTGAAGCATCTGTTCCATGTAATTTCTCATTGTTTTTACAAAAAGAAAAACACTAAAAATGTAGCTGATAGAAACCGTGGTCACTATTATTCTGGCTTTTTCACTAATGCACTCACACCCAATATCCACTCAGAATTAGTAGAATGGCTTCATACCAGTGCCAGTTTATGGGTTTCGCAAAAACCATGATGTTTGCCCCATTTGTGTGAAGTAGTCCTGGCCACATGGGAATGTGAATTTTGTTGTATTGGCATATATATAATTAACAAATACAGAAAATGGCATGTACATAAGCCATAAATTTGGTTCACAATAAAAATCTCAATATATGCTTTTAACATTTTGGCTGCATACAACTATAACAATGAAACATGCCCAGGACAATATGCAACACAAGAAAGCAAATATTAAAATGCATATCAAAACACAGAACATTAAGAAATCTAAGGAAATTCAGCCTAAAAAAAAAAGAAGGGAGAAAAAAAGAAGCCCAACATTTATTATTGTAGAAACAAGAAGTAAAAGGTAGTTGCATAATTAGAAAAATAAGACACTTTTGTATTTAGCAATTAGAGATAATGATCAGATGATTACAGTCTACCCTCTAAAATTTGACTTCAAAAGAACTTCAATAATCTGCAGAGCAAACAAGAAAAAATGGGTCTTGTTCTTTAACACTTAATACGCTTAGGAAAGAAAAAATACAATTTTTTTTAATCTTCCATTTTTCAAAAATTTTCATATTCAAGCTGATTCTAACAAATTTTCGCAGCATGAAAGAGTATGCAATTTTGTGTCAAAATTGAAGAAGGCTGAAGCATCTGTTCCATGTAATTTCCCATTGTTTTTACAAAAAGAAAAACACTAAAAATGTAGCTGATAGAAACCGTGGTCACTATTATTCTGGCTTTTTCACTCATGCACTCACACCCAATATCCACTCAGAATTAGTAGAATGGCTTCATACCAGTGCCAGTTTATGGGTTTCGCAAAAACCATGATGTTTGCCCCATTTGTGTGAAGTAGTCCTGGCCACATGGGAATGTGAATTTTGTTGTATTGGCATATATATAATTAACAAATACAGAAAATGGCATGTACATAAGCCATAAATTTGGTTCACAATAAAAATCTCAATATATGCTGTTAACGTTTTGGCTGCATATAACTACAACAATGAAACATGCCCAGGACAATATGCAACACAAGAGTTGCCCTCATATAAAAACCAATGCTAATTCAAAATGTTACAAATTCGAAGAGTTGTTGATTATTTGAGAGAACAATGGAGAGCACATTGCAAGCATCTTTCTGTATGATTGGTTTTTCCAAAGAACATGAATATGATGTTATTAAAATCCTAAGATAACAACAGGAATTGTAAATCTAAAAACTGTGCTGCATTACCAAGTGAATAAAAAAAAACTAAACACTTAGAAAATTTTCATTATAAAGAAAACCAATTTATGAACTCCAAATTATACATATTTTGGAAGAGTAACTTTTCCCGCATCTTCGTCACCATTTAATGTGGAATGTGTTTACGCTTGGTTGAACATGGTGCATTGTTTGCGAACATGTATAATTCGACTTGTGCCAAAAAATCAAAACAACAAAAAAGCAACTCCATCCTGATCAAAGTGGCATAACATTTTAACGAAAAGGTTTTGAGCAAAGTAACTTAGCAAGAGTGCTGTTACACCTATCGACTAAATTCTGTGTAAAGATTAGATTGATCTATCAAGTTATTCTATGAGTGAGCACACATCAAAGAGAAAATGGTCACTTATAGACATAAAAAGGACTATTGATACTCTTGAAAAGTGATCATTGTTTTCTTTGACGTGTGCTCACTCGTGAATGGCTCCACGGATCTATCTCATTTTTTTACACAGAATGTAGTTGTTAGGTGTAAGAACACTTCTTTTAAGTTAATTGCTCAATACTGTTCCGTTAAAAAGTTACACCAGTTTGATATGTGTGGGGTTGTTTTTTGGGGGGTTATTTCAACTACACCCCTACTTTGACACTTTTTACATCTTTTGATCAATGTGCTATGTTCATCCAAGCGTAAACACATACCACACAAAAATGGTACCGAAGATGTGGGAGGAGTTACTCTTTCAAAATATTATAATAGTTTGGGGTTCATAAATCTGTTTTCTTTTTAATGACAATTTTCTAAGTGATCATTTCAATTTCAAAAGGCCTGTTGATAGAACAACACATTCCAAGGCTTTATTTCTGGTTGAAATGGTAATATGCCCTGAAGGCTCTCACTGCACCAGACTCTTGAGCTCCTGGTTTGACATCAAAAGCAATGGTGTCCATCACGACCCACATTGCTCTTGCCTGGCATGGATACTGTAGATCAAAGATCTGAAAGATCTTGTAGCACAAATCTACAGCTGCAACGAGACTCTTCTGCTCAAGAACGTGGTGCTCCAATACAACAAAAGTCTGAGCTGGATTGCAGAAGTGTCCTCCTAGGGCTAGGATGAAAGGTTGGTTCCTCCCATGCGAAGATTTGTATGCCTCTACATTGGTCCCTTCCTGACATGAAAGAAAAGAAAAAAAATTGCCACCATGAAATGTGCATAATAATTGCTTGTAACACACTCTCATATGCTGAAGTACAGTTGAAATGTAATGTTAGGTGCATCAGAAATTATCCAGGGGGTATTATTACTTATTTGACTGACCATTAAATCTAATCTTTAAATATACAGTGACATTGTTATCGACCAACTTAGTTATTCCTGGGTATGGAAAGAAACAATAGTGATATTGTGTCTTGGAAAGTTGCAAAAATAAGTAGAAATATCTCCAGCTAAGGTGCCACATATATCCACAGCCCATTGTGAAATATTTGCCATAGAATGTATCATCCCACAAAATTTGAGAGAAGGGCTATTTCATGTAATGCTTCTCACTTTCACCTTCTTACCCTCTAACCACTTCCCCTTCCCAATCTACCAAAAAAAAAAAAACAGTTCTTTTTTGGAATGGCCATGAATCTTCTCATTGCTATAATTACCTTTTGAAAGTCAATGAAATTATCCAAGGCTTCTTGGATGGAAGCTCTTCCTCCCTTTGTTGACTTCTTTCCAGGGAACAAATGCGAGAGAAGGCAAAATGCCAGGTTCATCATCTCATCTGTATCAATAATATTAAAGAAAATTTCTTTAGACTGATGATACATGTTTATCATATTTTCATGCACTATTTGACTCGGCCTTCATTGTATCCATCGACTTAAAAAAAAATATTTGTGACGACTTTTAATGCTGAAATCTATAAATGAAAAAAAATAAAAAAATAGATGGAATCACAACTGCACAGTCAAAATTAACCCCTCCCCCTTCCGATGTATATATGGGTTTGTTATTTGTTCCTTCTTCAAACATAATGTAAATAAGATTTAATCTGAAAACTTGTTTATTTTGGTACAAACTACTCAATCATAGATTTTCTTCATAACACAATAAGAACTACAGAAAAACTTTGGGTGATGGTGAAGCGAGCAGTACAATTATTTGCCAATTTGCTTACTATATCTGTAAACAATATCATACCTTGACTGAAGTCTGTGTCTTTTCTATGCTGAACGTTAAATCTGGCCTTCCACCCTGGGCTTACTCGGTTTGCATATTCTAGGATGCACGCAGACACCACCGGCCACTTTGTATAGAGGTGCTTTCCTCTCCCCGAAAACAGCATTTCGTAGTCTTGCTCAATCTATGAATCAGAAAGATAAAATCTATAGCATGCATATCTCATTGTCTTTTTTTTACGGGTGTATTTTTTTTCTTCTTTTGGCCATGTATTGGCCTGCATCAATTTGACATGAAAATCATAAGAATAGTACAAGTAAAACAAGTCATGCACAGTCTGCAATGTGATCCAGCAAATACTTGGGTGGGTGAATGCATATTTACAAGATTAGGACTTCAAATTAAATAGATATTGAATAAACTGTATCAAAATTTATCCCAGTCAAATTTGCTTAAATGTAACATTTTGAATCATGGAATTCCTCTGGGAATGAAATCAACAAAAAAAAGATAAAAAAGAAAATATAGATAACATGTCTGGACAATTAATAAAGTGGGTGAAATAAAAAAAAAAAGACCCTAACCTACTTTTCTAACCACTTCACTGGACGATTCTTGAGGAGTTCTTCACACAATGTCATTTTCAGAATGTGTGCAGGTATTTTTTTTGTTTTTGTTGAATGCTCCATGTAGATATAACAGAAAAAGCAGTTATTTTTATGTGTACATAACCGACTGTATTAATATCCTTCATCTTGATTTCGTTAGATAAGGGACCTGCTTATTAAACCGTAATGACAGTTAACAAAGGTAATGAAACATTTACTTACCATTCCAGGGGAAAGGAGATGTGGAAACTCATCCAGCACTTCAGCCACACAAGGCTTTTTCCTGGAACTTCCCGGCAGTGTTGAATGTACAAAGTCCTTTCTATATGCTGATGTCAGCTGCATTTTGGCCACAACATCTTTTTGGGGGGTGTTATGACTTTTCAACCATTCAGTGATGACTTTCATGTCTGCAAGATCTGATCAATAATAATGGAACTCTTAAGATATCAATCATTATCAAATCAAGCCCGAGTTAAAATGGATGAACCTCCTGTTCATCCTAGTATTTTTCTAACTTTAAGCTGTATGTTTTATCAGGCAGCATTAAAATTTAATTTGGCTGCTAATTAGTATCAAAGTAAACAAGGTTTTACCAGGTAGTATTTGACTTATTTTTTAATACAGTTAAACCTGATTAGTCGACCTTTCATACGTCAAATATTCGCCCAAGTCAAAGCAATCTTTAAGACCAGATTATGCAAACATGTGTTAATGTATACTCTTCTAGGTTAAATTTCTCCCAAGCAAAACAGATTTCTATGGTCCCAAAAGATTCAACATAGCCAAATTACCTGTAATTGAAAAGAGTGTCACATTACCAGCATTTACTCCCTTCAAGAAGAGCTGATTTTGCTATAACATGCATTTGCCAGACCCCAACCAAAGAAATTAGTACTTCAATGGGACAAAAAGGAAATACAAAATTACATTCAACTCGAAAAATGCAAAGAAAGTCGGATCCCTTTCTCTAAGTTTTGCTATAAACATGCCCATGGCGGCCAAACTATGAAAATTAACACAATCTACATATAACAATGGTTATTTACTACTTAGCTTGAACCCCGGGAACAAATTTTTTGCTACTGGGCAAGTATTTTTTAAGCCTGCTTGACTATCCAAAAGGAGAACCGGAATCAACTGGACCAGTTACACCAGTAAAAATTCAACTGGTAACTCAGGAAATTGGAACAAAATAATACTGTTCCAGTTGAACTGGACCAGTAAAAATTCAACAGGTTGCATTAGACTGTTATATGCTTTGGAAATTATTGGTAACATCTGTAAGTGCATACCATAATTCATCTGAGGAGATGCTAGATCCTCACTGGAAGATGTTGAAGCTATATCCTCAGGACTGCCAACCCCGACTTGCTTCTTGTCTTTCTCCGCTGTTATTCTTCTTAAATACTTGAGTCTATTCTCTATCCTACCACCTGCAGGACATTTGGAGCTTTTGAAGTACCATTCCTCCTTTAAAAAAAAAATCCTGTGCATTAGCATGAATAATGTAAAAATTCAAGGAGTAAACTATATAGCCATAACTTCAAATAAATTACTATCTTCAAAGTTCATGAGAAAATATAAAATATTAATCAGGCCATTATCACATTAATAAAGAGCTAGATGAAAGTAACTCACAGACAGAAAATTTGAAACTGAAACTTCCATCATGAAGCACAAGGGAAAATTTAATAATGTGCTTCCTATCACAATATTCCAATGAGTAACAAGAAATTTTTCTTTGGACTAAAAGGACTTTACTGATATGTGCCACAGATGAGTTTTAATTGAAATACTGACACAAAGTCAGTCTCCACAAACTGTCTACTCACATCTCCATTTCCAGCTGGATCTTTCAGGAAGGGGAACTCTGCGATGATTGAGGAGGCCATTGCCCCTTTCATGTCAGGGCCAGGTCTGTTTAGTAAGAGAAATTAACATTACAGTTTAATGTACATGTACTTATGTTAGAAAATACACATGTGGAACAGTGTCTAGAATGAAATTATTGTGGTGTAGTTGAGCTTACTCCAAATCAAAGGATGTGGTTTGAGCTAACCTAATGTGCATGCCCCAATGTTTCGGTGAAACAGTTCTTTTTCTTATTGAATTTCACGAACACCATATTTTCGTTCTCAAAGACACCGTAAATTTCCCAGGTTACTTTGCAGCCACAATACTTTGACGATGAAGAAGTTTGACGAATTTGCAGACGGCAAATTTACCTTTATTTCCTGATTTGTCGAGGCTAATATCGCCCAAAGAGTAAGTAATATGAAAGTTAAATATCTAAATTTAATAATGATATGAAAGAGAAAGGAATTTGATAAATTCTAGATACGATGTTTTGAGATTGAAGTTTGATGTCAAAATTGTTATAACACAGAGTTATTGTTAATATGTTCGCTAGCTACGCTACATGTATTAGCAAGTGAAGAGTGTCAATTTCATAAACAAAGAGTAAAATTGTCTAGTTTGCTTGATAAGATTAAGCCTACAAAAGTACTGAAATTCTGGTACAAAACAAAGGTTTGATTTGTAGGATTAAGCTATGTCAAATTTGGTACAATGTACAAGATGTATTTTGAAAGCCATTTTGTGTTCTTAGTAGGTTTCATGTATTTAAAAGGGATACAGAACAGACGGAACAAAAGAATGCCTGAGAAAAGGGCTGAATGTTTAAACAGGTTTTATAAATGAATGCTGTTAAGCTGCATTTTGCCTGAGCTTGTATTCAAGATATTTTGGTCAGTCAAGATGTAGGTCGATAGGCAAAGGTCATATTTCATTTCGGTCAGATTTATCTGGAATGAGTTCTGGATAAATTAATTTGGATGTTCTTTTGAGCCACAAAAAGAAACAATGCAGCAGTAATAAAGCATGTCATTTAATGATTAAGAAAAAGCAAAGACCATATGTGAATAGTGGAAATATTGTTATATATAAACCATCCAAGAGGTTTCAAGGTTATTTAGTGCTTTGTTAAGCATGGTTTATTTATTCAGGATTTAGTTTGGTTTAAATACAGTAAAGAGCAAATTAGGTAGTTTGAATGAAAATCATACATTTGAAAGATTATACATTGCATGTGTTTTAAGGAGATTTCGGTATTTCCACAGGACGTTAAATTTCTAGTCAACTAGTTAATTGAATTTCTTAAAACCAAGTGAAGCTTGTGATTTTCTGAATTCTTAAAGAAAACATAATTTTGCTACTATTGACGTATAAATAAGTCACTCATGACAACTGATTATTCCATGAAGCGATATATGTTTATTAGCAAACAAGAAGATGTAAATCTCTGAGTATTGCACTAAACAATGTGTTTTTATTCTCTCTGTTTTCATCTACAGATTGAATGATTTGGAAGGGAGTTCCAGAATAAACTTCCATCCTCCATAGACCATACAATATGCGGTGTTAGCCTTGTTATTTGTTGTCTCACTTGACTCAAGGTTACTAGTAGCAGGTATATTTTAAGCTTGGCAAATATCCTTCAGAGCCCTGTTATACCATACTTTGAAAAATGAGATGCCTGATGAGGGAAAGGAGGATTTTCAAATCAACTGGACATGAGAAAGGGACCTAGTCAGGAAGGTCAAAGTCTTGCTGTAAAGTGAATGTGATTTCTTGCAAAAGAAAGAAGAAGAATGCACAATGCAGACAGAAACAAGGCAATAGCATATGAGCCATTGCAAATACATGTAACATTCATTACCTTAGGCCATGCAAGTTTACAAGGTGCTCTGTACACAAATTACAGACGACACGAGTGTTGTGTGGTGCGCAGACTTTCATTCGAGTTACTTCCTCCAACGTTTTTCTTCCTTCCATGGTTTTCTTTAGAATTTCACCCACATCCTATAAAAAAATCAGAATTGCACGAGTTAAGAAAATGTTGTGTGTGTGTTTTTTTTATTTTTTATCATAATAGTACAGGTGGTATTAAATCTTTTCTGGCACATTTCAACATCTTCCAAAAGCATTTGCTAAAAAGGGATTCTTACAGATACAGTGCATGTATTTTTGATCGATTTTGCATGCATAGTAATAAATGGGATAATCACAGCTCAAAATAACATGCAAAAAATGTGCTACCCAGCAGATAGAGTGTTCTTTGTTTTCAACAGACCTTGGTGATAAAAATAGCAACTGGGAGTCAATTTAATTAAATCTCTGAATTCTAAAGGGACTTACAATTTCAATGTTTTTATTATTGTTCTGAACTTAACATCATAGACAGCGTGGCTCTTAAATACTTTGCTCAGGGACACACAGAGTGGTGGACTTTTATTTCCACATAAAAAAAGAATAGATCTGATTGAAAGCTTTCGTTAACGCCATGTGGTAAGCCTTAGGGAAAAGGCCGTTGATATACATGTATCTTTCTTCAAGGGCCCCACTTATAGGGCAATTAGAGGAATAAAGGAAAGGAAGTGAATGCAATGGAATTTGAATTTAGAAACACAAACACAAGACTTGTTTTTTAGCTTTCAATTTGATACGTTTTTAGCTTTTTGTTTTGGTGTTGAAAACACTGAAAAATGAAATGAAATGGAAAGAGGAAAAATAGAAAAAGATCAAGATCAGAAAATTTGTGACCAGTTCACAAATTCGAAGAGTTTAGTTCTGAAAAGAACTGTTGGTATTCCTTGTTGAGTTTATTTCTGTAAAGAACGGTTGGTTTCTTGAAAGGGTTAACTATAGTATTTGTAACTATAGTATTATTTCAATAAAAGGAGATATCGACTCGACATGTTTCGAACAGTATGCTCTATTCGTCGTCAGGAGTATAACTCAAAGAATCATTCAGTGCAACTGGCTTTTTATGCAGTGGGAACCGCACAAATGGGTCCGGCGCTAGCGGAATTGTGATTGTTTAACGAAAGCTTTCAATTGTGAATACTCACTCACCATGAAAACCTAGAGAACATTTAGAATAGCCATGATATAAATACACGTAAATAATATAATATGGCCTAATTATTTAGACTGAATGAATTACAATTTTTTTTAAAAATGTGAACTTACGTATCTTACTGCTTTCTGGCGCTTGAGTGGTGGCGTGTCACTGCTGCTGTTCAAATCATTGACTACTGATGAGCATGAATCTTCATCTACTGCAATAGTTGAAGCCTGAGAAAGGTCGAAAGGAACTGATTCCACATCTGATATCATGAAATCATCAGACAGCTCGGGTGACTCCCAGCCCATCTGCATGCCTGTCAGTACAGATTCTGCAGAATCGTTTGCTTTATCCTGAAAGGATGAAAATACACAGTCTGTCAAAAGGTTTCTGCAATTCAACATTTAAATTATTATCTCGATTTTTCACATCATTTTACTTGAAATCAAAATTATTGAAATGTACTTGTAATGTATGTCTATTCTCCTTTGAAAAGATGCTTCTGATTGTACTAGTTCAAATAGCTATAAAATTAAACATTATGGAATGTGTAAGACAACTGAATTACGGTACCATGTCAAAAGTGAAAATTAGTGCTCACTGTCGATGGCAAATTTCTTAATTTGTTTTAGGATAGATAGAGTGTAATTGATCTTGTCATATTGAAGTGGTTCTGCATGAGTGCCAACATTGTATCCTAAAGATAATTAAACACTTTTGAACTAATAGTGTTTACATTTAAGGTGTTTTATACCTTCCATTATTTGAGATTCATTACTGATGGTGTATTGTTTGAAATGGAAATGAACTGACATTCCTATTATATGAATGTATAATGATGCATAGAAGTGCTACAGTAAACAGAGATATGGATGATCAAAGTTAAATTACAAAAATGTCTTTGAGGGGTTTACTTTGCTCCTTCTAAATATTCAGTTCTATGTAAAGGCCATTATTAAGAAAAAAAAATGTACATACACATTTATTCGTTGAAAGAAAGTACATAAGTTTGAACGGGTATTGAGGAATTGAAACTACAGTGTATTGTACCTGTAAGTCACTTTTGGCTCTGAGTTAACTTTGATGCAGTTATGACAGCATGTATCGGGTAGGAATGTACCACCGATGATCTGCAATACCATGACTCTTCACTGCATGAACAGGTCTGTGTTCAAACAGGTTTTCAGGATCAACCAACTGCAGTGTAGCCAACTCATCTTCTGATGCAACATAGGCTTGAAAGTGATCATGAAAGTAATTTGTCTTCCATGGTTGGATCATCAAATATAGTCTATCCTGCTTTCTCATAAGACAATCAATTCTTGAGAAAGATGGTAGTTCACCACACCAGTCAGTTAGCAACATTATATTAGGTCTGTATGTGTATCCATAAAATGTTACTTTATCACACAATTCTAGTACAGCATCAGGTTCACAGCTCAACAGCTGACATACTTCTGCCTCACTATCAAGATCACACACTTTAACAAATTCTGAACTGTGGATGCATACACATTCGCTGTTGATGTTTTCTTTCTTGAGCATTCTGAATGCTTGATCTTCCTGGTGTTTACGTGCAATTGTTTTGGCAATGTTCTTGTAGTTATTGCAAGTTTTTGCCCACCTTTTCAAAGGCTTGTGCTTTCCTTCTTGCCTCATACAAGCATACTGTGACAAAGGACCTAGCTCTCTCATTGCTCGGGGATAGTGGAGAAGATTGTGATGCTTGGGGAGGAGATGGTTATCAGGAAATAGTTGCAAATACAACTGATGATGCTCACTAATCCTTGACTGCAAGTAGTAGGTAACAGCAATGCTAATGTTTGGTGCTATGACCAGCTGGAAGATTTCCAGAAGAATTGTGAACAACCTCCAGTATTCACACCCTTCTTCAACTTTATCTCCCACAATCAGAGGTATGAATTCAACAAGACAGCTCATCTGTGATGCCTTTTGACCACTTGCTCCAAATGGGTTGTTAAGGTGACTTTGAAGGATGAGGCTGGGCTTGTTTGCGTGTTCTGTTACGCCGTAGCTGAATGACCGAATACGACTGTTTAGTTCATCAAGGCTAAATCTGCCCTGTTGTATGAGCTCAGACAGGACAAGTTTCATCTCAAATGGAAGTAACCCTTCTAGGAAATCGTGCATCAGGTCAGGAGCATAGTTTTGTGATACGTGGTAATAGCTCAGTGAATTGAGAGCACATGATCTCCGGAGTCCTGTTTGGGATACATCTTTTAAACTGATATCATAATCAACGTTTTCTTTAGTACGAAGTAACCTTTCATCAACAACTACCTGTTTTCTGCATATTGCCTTAAGTGCCTTGCAGAACCTGCAATAGTAGTTTGCACTAAAACTTCCAGCAAAGCCAAGTATGGTATTGAGAGCCAAGTTATCACCGACTGCCTGGAGAAGTCTGAGACGAATGGTGCCGTTGAATCCATCTGGACTATCTATATGAAGACCTTCGGTAAAGAGAACTTCAAGATCATCAGAAATACGCTGCAGAACAGCATTAACACCATATTTGGACACAAGAGAAGATTTTGCTAAAGCGACCAAAAGTACATTTTCAAGCTTAGCTTGATATTTCTTGGGCAAAGAAGCAACAGTTAAATAGACTCCAAGAAGTTTGTGTTTCCCTTTCTTTGAACCGAGGGGATTTGCTGTCTCGAAGTCATCATTATAGAGTAACAATTCAATATCCAAACAGTTTTGTTTCCCTTCAAAAGTCCTATAATATGATCCATCTCTATAAGTCTGAAGAACTTCTTTCTCACCAGCACTGTCTTTTTCTTGACTGATGACCGACATATAGCCTGGTTGTTCCAACAACACTTTAAGACTGTCTCCTATTGGCACATACTGAAAAGTTTCATCAACTTGTTTTTGCTCAGTCCTTCCAGTACGCACATTCAAACATTCTCTGTATGCTTTGCCCAAAACAATTTCTTCTGGCTCAATAAGAACTTTACATTCGTGGGCATATTGGTTTTGCTTGTGGACAGTAGATAAACTGAAATAATCAAATGGATCTTTCACCATGTGGAGGACTGACTGTAGACTGTCAATTTTATCATCTGACGGTTTGATATCATGAGCTATGTCCTCAATGACGGGGGCTGACACTTGTAGAACTGCTTCATTTACATTCCTGAGCAGCTCCCGTGTGTCACAAATGATGCTTTGCACAGTAGATGATGGCAGGGAAGAGCTTTTAAGTTTTGCCAAATATTCAGAAACAGAATGTTTGATATTTGCTGATATTTCCTCGTTGGGTTTTTCATTTGGCAGCACTTCTGACTGATCTGATACACTTTCATCATCAGAAACAGCATTTCCATGAGAATCTTCATCACTGACATTTTGTGCAATGGAATCATGATATTGTAAGTGCCGCTTGTAGCTATAACCATGATAAAATGTTTTAAAACATTCTTGCACATGACACACAAGTTTTGTTCTGGTCTTCGTATTGATGTTATGGATCTTTAAATGGTTCCATAGATCCCCACTTTTTTCAAATGATTTCACACATTTGCAACACGAAAACATTTTCTTTCCAGGAATATCTTATGGCTGCTTACTAACCTTTCTCTTCCAGTTATCAAAACGGTCAATGAATTTAAGTCTTGGACCCAACTGCGGGATCACGTCCTTCACAAGACTTGCATCAAGCAGCTTGAATGCTGATGAGTCAATGCCACAATCTAAATGGAAAGAAAAAGATATGGTAAATTCCACTTTTTGTAAAAAATTATCAATTATCAATACAACGATGATTAACTAGGTGTGATTCAATCCATACAGAATACATGACAATCGCATTTTTACTTCAGTCATTTCTATCTAGGGTCTATATCTAAGTTAGATGTAGACCCCTCGGCTCTATACATTGTAGGATCTAGCTTTGTTCTTAATGATTTGAGTCAAATAAAAAACAAAAACAAAAAACACCTGTAGGAAAAAAAATAAATAAAGAGGATTTATCTTTGTTATATTTTGTTTGGTATAAACAATTCTCCCTATCTCATATCATTTCGGGCAAACTCAGAATTCGGAAGTCTTCCGATTTCGGCAGTCTTATAAATATCATACATACATGTAGGCCTAGACTCCAAGTTAGAGTCTAGTCAGTAGCCTAGAATCTAGATCAGATGGAGTAAATATATAAATGCTATACAATGTTGATTCAAGATCAAAGAAAAAGCTGTACTGCTGTAGACCTAGTTTTAACTTAGACACAGCATGCACAGACCAAAATCAGGTACCAGCTAGGAGACAGGACCGCACGCGACCACGGCCGGCTCAGCCCGGGGCTGCGCCACCCAGTACAACGGCTGTGCGTTCGAGCTGCAATACCCAGTGCCCGATCAGACAGTACCAAAAAAAAAAATCATGTTGAAGAATTAGAAAGAAATATATACTCTGGTCTACTGGTAATGCATACTTACTTCTAAAATTGACGATTTGGTCGGTCAGCTCCCATTTCCTCAACAACGAAGCAACTTTGTCGTCCGCCATTTCACCGCTGTGTACTCAGGTTGGTTGGTGTACTAATACTAGATCTATATAGGGCCAGGGCCTTTAGTATATACCGTATGCATGTATTATGCACACATGTTTTTTATCCTATGCGGCCGCGTGCTGTGCAGGGCTTTTCGTGGAGGCAGTGTAAATCTGGGAGTGCAATTTACTCAGAGTTAAGTAAAATTTAATGCCACTGGAGCAAACTTTACTCATCAAGAATGAGCAAAACTAAAAATAGACAAAAATTGGAGCAAACTTTACTCAACAAGAATGAGCAAAACTTAAAAAGGAAAAAAAAAGAGTAAATAGTCAGAGTTTGCTCAATATAGGAGACTTGTACGTTGTAAAAAGTACATTATTGCTCAATATTGAGCACTCTTGTGTTTACCTCGGCGATATTTTACCCCACGGATTTAGAGTGTATTAAAATTAATATACTGAACACAATCATGAACAGAACAGGAGGAGATGAAATAATGAACAATCATGCCAACGTTAACGCCTACAGAACTCCGATGTTGAGAGGAAAATAAACAATCAGAAGAAACATTGTAACCAATGTCATGTACGTAAAATAATATTAAAACAAATCAGTAGCCAAAGTAATGCTTTTCAGAGTCAAATCTCGCAAGACGAGAGCGACACACAAGCAGGCACTATACATGAATAACTAATGCGCCGGACCGGGCGCGAAAGGGCGCGAAAGCTATTCAAAGTTTAAGCTCCCATTCACAAGTGTCAAGTGCTTCGTAACAATGATACTCCAAACAATAGCCAGATTTTAATGAGCTGGGAACCACCTGAAGTCCTCTCGTATCCGACGCAAAAAGGCGCAAATGGGCGCAATAAGGCGCCTCCTTTGTTCTCATATCCTGCTCTGCGCCCCGACGCGTCGCGGCACAGTCGCAACTTTGGAAGGCTCCCCTTATGAAATATTTCTTCTAAACCTGGCGGATAACCAGCCCGTCCGGACACACACAACGTGTTAGTAACATGGGCTAACTCTCGAATGCCTTATTTAGCAAAATAACCACGCAGTGCCGTGTTGAATACAAAGCCTACACTGCTATAATATGTATCTTACAGTTTTTGTTGGACATTTTAAAAACTTCATGTTACATTGTCATTATAATTCAGAACATCATAGCAGTTTGTATCGTGATATCACTCTCGGCATGTGCCTCAGGTAAGAGTTTCTCATTTGTTTAATTTGCATCCTCTAAACATCCTTATATCAGAAATAAACAATCTGGATATCATATTAAACAATATATATGTATTATGAGACAAGTATTTTCGTAAAGCACGGACATGGAGAAAGATTTCTGGATGTAACTAAAAGTACATGACGCAAAGTCGAAAATCCAGAAAAAGGCAGCCAGTGAAAACGAATTCGTTTGCTAAAATTATGAAAATGTAAGGGCTACTTTAAACAAACAGAACTTTGTCCTTCCTTGCTCATTTTTCCAGATTGAGGTGTCATATGAAAGGGCAGAAACTCAACTTTCTAGAAATGTGATTTTCCCTTTGAAAATTCAGATACCGCCCGCCAAATGACTTTTCGTTTTCCTCTCTTCAAACTGATTTTAATCACCCATGCGTGAAATATGCATTATACGAGTTGCATCAAATGAAAGAGGAAAATCTAAGCTTTCCAAGTTTGTGTCATTTATTAATAATAAATGTGACTAAGTTATGATAAAACATCGATAATTCTCGGTTTCGTTTTTTCTGGGACGCACTGTATAGTAAAATCCGCTCTCAAATTAGTCACTACTTTGAAGTGAGTTCTACTATCATGACTATAATTCTCTAGTGAATTCCAAGCCTCACAAACACACAAAGGGGTCACTATTAAGTGACCCCTTTGTGTGTTTGTGAGGCTAGCTATGACTCGTAACCAAGTGGCTTTCTATTCATTTGCGTTAACTCATAAGCAGTACAGTGTCTCCTTTTAATTATGTTTTGATCTGGAATGCTAAGAATCGAATATGTTACACAAAAACCTTCTTTTTAGGACAAAATTATTCCATTTTAATAGGCAACCTTGTAAAATGATCCGTTTTTTTACACATTTGCATTAAGTATATATGCAGCACTTTCCCGTTTTGAAACATTATTCATTTTTCTGAGACAAAAAAAAACTTGTCCTTTTCTTCATAACCTATGACATTCACACTTATCATTTCAATTATCAAACTATACTTAGCTACGTGCCTGGGAAATTGCCCTACACCAGTCTGTTCTGATCCGTCACATGTCCTACGCGAATCAGAAGACAACGAACTAAAGCACCTGTTCTTCAGAAACCAGTCACCATGGTTACCTCGTGACATGACCATATTTGTTTGCGCGGAACCGGGTAAATGCATTCTATGCTAATTTGATTTGATTTGATTTGATGTTTATTTATTCCACACAGATCATCATATTTATATACAGAAAAGGGGTAATCTTAAGACTTATTTTGACTTATCATTTTGGCGTAATAATAATGAATATATACTTATTAGGTTTTTTCTTTATACATGAGAGCTATTACTTCTATTTATTTAGATAGAAAACAGAAGCAAACAAACAAACACACCGGTACATATATATACCGTTCTTAATGCATGTACCGTTCCGTGTATGTAAGAGCAATCCCTGTGCTAATGGAGCTTCATGTTGGGAAGAATTTGAAGGGTTCTCTTAAAATGTGTTAAGGTGTAACCCTGAAGTCATAGAACTTATCTGTGATAAGCCCGGATGTAAGTCCTTGGTTCATTTCCTTCACTCAATATTTAAATTAATGCCATGAATTTAAAACAAATTAACGATATTTACATAAGAGTTTTTAAACATTAAAACAAACAGAAAATGAGCTTGATGTTTCATTTTTTCAATGCTAGAATGACGACCATTATTACTATAAAAAAAGTGTAAGTACCACAAAGTGAAATATTCAAGGCAATGAAAAGCGAAATAGTAACAAGAATGAATAATAAATCCCGGTAAGATATATGATAAGTCACGTATTCAGCACAATACGATTATGAAGTCGATGTAGCCCACCCGCCCTCATCCCTACCTATTGTAGACGAAGAACAATAGGTAACTTATGCACCTTGGTAAAATGGTCTTCTCAAGCGAAGATGCCAAACCTCACCCGTTCATCTTTTTTTCTCGTACATAAACGGGATTAGTTGGTCAGTGTTGATTGTGTTGTTTAATTAAAAATAGCGATTGTTACCTCACTGCCTCATAGTCTCGTCGTTTAAATATAATAATGTAAAAAGTATGAATGAGATATGTGATTTATTATCATGCATTATATTCCCGAAGACCTGTGGTAGCAAGTGATTTTGTCCCCTGCTCCTGGCATTTGTACTTATTTATATTTGTTTTCTGTATTTTGAAATTATATCTTTGATGTTCGTTATCCTTTGTTGGGCAGAATATTGACAATGAACCTACAAATCTGATTTTTAGTCAATAAAACAGAATTTCTATTTCAATTTCATTAATCAGAAAACCCCTCAAACGCCCAGACAGACGATCAAGCAGCCGATTCCACAAAAGATCAAAGAAACGATGAATCGCGCAATGAAACAGCCAAAGGATCGCACAATGAAACAGCCGATGAATCGCGCAATGAAACAGCCAAAGGATCGCACAATGAAACAGCCGATGGATCGCACAATGGAACACCCGATGGATCGCACAATGGAACAGCCGATGGATCGCATAATGGAACAGCCGATGGATCGCACAATGAAACAGCCGATGGATCGCACAATGGAACAGCCGATGGATCGCACAATGGAACAGCCGATGGATCGCACAATGAAACACCCGATGGATCGCACAATGAAACAGCCGATGGATCGCACAATGGAACACCCGATGGATCGCACAATGAAGCAGCCGATGGATCGCACAATGGAACACCCGATGGATCACACAATGGAACAGCCGATGGATCGCACAATGAAACAGCCGATGGATCGCACAATGAAACAGCCGATGGATCGCACAATGAAACACCCGATGGATCGCACAATGGAACACCCGACGAATCACAAGATCAACCGTACGGTCGTACAACTGTTGTTCTCATGTCAAGTGACGATGGCATTGTTATCCTTGGGGAAGCACGTGATGACGAGTCTCTACAGCTCATCACCTATCATGCTTTCACGGTATCAGGCAAACCGAGTACAGTAGACTTCGATCCAGTCTCTACGTCGATTTATTGGTCTGATTCAACCAGTATCAACCGATTACACTTGGAAACATACTCACAATCTGTGATCGTCTCCAACGCAAGCAAGTATTATAAAACTATTTCACATCATTTCAAATGTTCTAACCATACGTGACAGTGCAAACAAGTTTCCATCAAAAAGTAAAGTGTATTACATAAGATTGTGAGTGGACATTTTCCCTCATACCTGTTATTCCGCTTTTTGCTGCGATGGTACCCCTCATTAAAGCCTTCCTGGTGCTTGCAATACCCATGGAGCGCTGGATTAATATTGATTTTAAAAGGGTGCAGGTGAAGCTCGACATCGCTACAAATATCTAGGAAGGTGAGCGTTGCCAAAAACGTTGCTAGTTGTACTCGTGACGTCATATTTTCTGCTAAACTTAGTGCTGCGCCTCCTTGTTTTCCTTACCTCCTAAATGTTCTCATTCATTGACGCACACACACACACACACGCACACAAAACCCGCGGTTTTCCCGGCGTTTGTGATCTGAACAGGCTTTAATTTGTCTGGGCAGGAATCTTTCTAAGACTCGTAATGTTACAAATCTTGCATGCAGAGCTTTAGGCCTTTCTAGGCCATTCTGTTCCAATGACTTTCTTTCAACAACAAAAATGATTGTATATATTCACTTTATATCCTATAATTACGACGTTACAAATACTGATGAGATATAGAAATCGCATTTTCCGGATATCGGGAGCTTCAAACTTATCTGGGGATGCAGCCCCCCCCCCCCCCCAGCACACACACCCAGACGCACATATCGTATGTCTGTGTAAATGGGAGATATCGTACAATACGTTGTAGAGTCATATTTGTAAACCTAACGACAACCCTGCATTCGTCTCCAGCGCACTACCCGATGCATGCGGTATGATATGTAAACCCGTTGACTTCTAAATTCTCAATTCCCATAGACCTAGTGCTAAGTTTACACTATGTTCCTGGCGGCCACGACAGCCTCATTAGCCCGAACGTAGTGCGTTTTTGTTGCGTTCGACCCCGGTTTACTACGGCCTACTAGGTTTTCTCATCTATACGTGACTGTCATGGCAAATTTTGTTGACAGTTTAAAAATCTGGCCAGGCATCGGGCAATCACGGTCTGTCACGTTTTCCCACTCCGCCCCCCCCCCGCGTTGTCTCACGCCCATCCCATTTTGTCCACGGTGGCCTGAAACGTGATTGCCGTAGCTAATAATTACAGGGGCTACCCGGTTCCCGTAAATAATAGGTTAATGGTGCACACAAGTTACCTATCACACAGCGCTACGACCTTAAGAAGGCCATGCCGATCACCCCGATCTGAAAAAGTTATCAAAGCGGGGCACTATCGCCGTGAAAATCCATCAATTTGGCATTTTAAAGATTACATCACGACTGTACTGCGATGATTGTACGTCAGAAGCGTTACTGTCTCGATGCCATTACGATTACACCTAGACCAAATGCCGACCAAGTGGTCGTTTTTACTATGTTTTTGCTACGACGTACGGTACATGACTCTACTATACGTTGTTATAAACACCTAGAAGACCGTAGGACGATGTCACTACACTGGTGCTGACCATATTACACTTCTAGTACGCTTTTACTGCGATTTGTGGCGATGTCTATATAAATCAGGGATGTTGAAGCGTTTCAAGCGGCTCGAAATAGTTGCCGACGGTGCTGCGTTTTTATTAAGAGATGAATTCACAGACATCTCAACACGATGCTGCCACGCTACTTGTACGATAATGGCGTTATCACTACGTTCTTAATAAAACTTTGCCCCGCTTATTGTCGGCCACGAACCGGCTACGCTTATTTTGTGCGGCTTCAATATAAGCGTGGGGAGGGCATGCAGCTTCCCGATCAAAATAGTGATAAAATAAAATATGATAAAATATTGCCTTCCTATCCTATGAAAATTCATTTTGAACAGTTATTGTTACGTTTATAGGTGTCGTGTCTTTCGCATTGGACACGACTGGGCGGCAGCTATTCTGGCTGGATGATGACGAAAGGTTAATTATGACGTCACAACTCAATGGCAGCGAGCCGAAGAGAATACTTGGTTGGATGAAACGTTCTAGGCACATATTCTTGGATACATTGAATAGGTAAGAAGCCCCATGTTCCCTTCAAAAATCATGAGGCATAGACAAGAACAGGCAAAAAAAAATTATGCCAATGGCTGACCTAAAGGAAAGTGACATTACCCCCCCCCCCCCCCGCTTATTCAGCGGCTGGCTGAGTCGTTGCGAAATTTTTGGCCCGATGTTACCCCCCCCCCCCCCCCCCCCCCCTTGAAAAAATCCTGCGTACGCCATTGGACAAGAATATTTATGTGTCACCTTTTGTGTCACTTTGTGCTGTAATGGCATTTTTAAAAACTCACCCTCTCGCTCTCTGCATGATCTTCTAGTCAAGGAATTGACAGCAAACTTTAGGAATATTACCCGGGGAAAGAGAGGGGGAGAGAGAAGGTTATGTCTCATCAAGGCCACGTCCTCTTAAAAAAAAAAAGGGGGGGGGGGTACACGTAACTGCGCGATTCTAATGCAATGCCACACAACGACAACGAAATCTTAATATCTATTATCGTAAAAACTTATGAGAAATGGCTAGTTTAAGTAATTTGATTCAGAAGCCTCGAAATGCCATCTTTCACGTCAGTCCTTTGTTTTTGCAATGCTGAATTGACACGACCGCCTTTTCTTGTTAAAATGACATTGTTTTTTTAATTCTCGAATTTTGAAGAGATGTTTGGCACACTTACTCTCTAGCATAATGTTATACGGATTAAGATGAGATCAGACATTAGTGAATGCGATTAGAAATCTTGTCCATTTAAGTGGAATGTAAGGTGCGCAGACATTAGGCCCCAATCAATATTTTGTTCCCAATGCCTGTTATTCCAGCTTTTCGTGGTTCTTGCGATAACCATGTATTGTCCCTCTAACAGTAGAGGTATCGTGGTCCAGCGGATTATGTCACCGGACTGTGGATCACGTGGGTCGCAGTTCGAAAAAATAAGACGCGTCCCGCCGCGACACTAATGTTCTTTGGCAAGATATTAATCTACATACATTTGCAACTCTCCACCCAGGTAAAGTAAATAGGTACCCGGTAGAAAGAAATTCCTCGAATCCTTTAGCGCCCTATTATGGCAGCTCAGCTACAGCCGGGGTAATAATAGTGATATGATGATACTAGAAGTTGCGCTACTGAATGGACCTATTATTATATATTCCACACCTTTCTATTCCTCTCCCGCTCTCGCACCTTTCTTTCTTTCTCTCTCTCTATATCTCTCTCTCTCTCTCTCCCCTCTCTCCCCTTTCTCTCTCTTTCAATTCAATTCAATTCATTTATTTTCCTATTTCAATCGTTCATATAATACAATGAGGGTACATTTTAACATATTCACATATTTATATATACATATAGATCAATTTGCACAATACAATACATTAAAAAAATAAACATGGAATTGAAAGCAAAGGAGGGCCGACTAAAAAGCAGAGCTTGAAGGGTGTAAGCCCCCTGTAAAAGTAATTATCATGAATTATTATTTTATAAGAAAAAACAAAAAACAACAATAATAACAATAACTGATTCAGTAATAACATTGATAAATACATACATGTTTATAAAAAGAAACAATCAAAGTTGCATAAAGTCACACTACAAATTATATTTAATTGGGGAATGCAATAGCCTAGTAACTATTCAGAAGAAAGCTTTTAAGTCTCCTTTTGAAAATTTGTATCGAATTACACTGTATAATATCATTTGAAAGAGAATTTCACAGTTTTGGACCTGTAAAAACAAATGTCTTTTGTGCAAAAGATGTTTTATTTAATGGTAGATGAAAAGAGCTCGCCTGGCGAGTGAGGTAACTATGAATCGAATAATTTCTTACGAACATATCATTAAAAGGCAAAGGTAATTGTTTAGTGTTGAGCTTGTACATTAACAGTCCAAGCTGAAAAATATACAAGTCTTTAATTTTATAAATGTTATTATTCAGAAAAATATTATTCGTATGTGCCCGGAAATCTGCATTATTAATAATACGAATCGCTCTTTTTTTGTAATATAAAGAGTCTATTAATTAAATCTTTCTCTCTCTATCTGCCCTCCTCTCTCTTTCTTTCTCTCTCTCTCCCCCTCTCCCCTCTCTCTATTTCTTTCTTCGCCTCTCTCTTTCTTTGCTCTAGGTCCCTCTATGTTGTTATATGTTTAAATGATGTTCTTTGTTGATATAGTGGTAAATATTTTTGTCCTAATAGATGGCTGTACTGGGACGCCAAGGACCCCCAACGCATACTATATAAAACGAACCTGGATGCCCCTGGATACTCTCGCTACAGTATGTCACCGATAGACGCGATAAACTGCTTGTTTATTGATAATCAAGGTAATATACAGGGCGTCACGGAAAAAAACGAAACCGAGAATTATCGATGTTTTATCATAATTTAATCACAATTATTGATAAATGACACATATTTGTAAGCTTAGATCATCCTCTTTCATTTGACGCAACTCATATGGTGCATATTTCTCGCATGAGTGATTAAAAACAATTTGAAGAAAGGATACTTAAAAGTCATTTGGCGAACGGTGTAATTTGAATTTCAAAGAGAAAAATCACATTTCTAGGAATTTTATTTTTTGCCCTTTCATAGACACCTCAACGCGGAAAAATCAGCCAAGAATAACACAGTTCTGTTTGTTTAAAATATTGCTTTATGAATGATCTGCCCAATAGCGTCGAACATAGTAAGGTGATGTTGTATGCTGATGATACAGGGGCTATGTTCAGTGCCTTAAACCCAAAGTACATAAGAGAGTACATTAAATAGTGATCTAGACTGGGTTAAATCATGGATTTACCATAATAAACTATCCCTTAATACGGACAAGAGTCACAAGACCAACTTCTTACTCATAGGGAAACACAAAAAGCTACGACATATCGAGGCACCAATCGACATAAAGATAGATGGTCTTCTGCAAATTCGACATGTAAAACATGTGAAATAGGTTGGTGTGTTGTTGGACATACTGCCAGCAAAATTGCTTGAAGGTTACCACTATTGAGACGTGTCAGAATATATCTAACGATAGGCAAATGCACTAGTATTACCAGATTTTGACTATTGTTGCACCTCAAGGTCAAATTGTAATGAAGGTCTTCGGGATACAAGTCGCATAAACAGATTTCTAGGATTTTTCTCTAAATCACTGTACTTACCCGAAGTTCAGACATGTTTTAAAAACTCAAGTGGATGAACAAGGAAAAACGTTGGCAATTCCAGAAATGTAAACTTATCTTTGATACTGTGAACGGTAATTCCCCTCATACCTTCAAGATATGTTTACTCGGTCTACAACAACACATCGTTAGAGCACTAGAATCTTTGATACTCGTGGATTAGTCATCCCGAAAGTTAAACTGAAAATGGTAGAAGAGCCTTTTGATTTGACGGTGCAATTTTCTGGAATAACCTCCCCAGTGAGGTACGAAATGCACAAATCAAGCAGTCCTTTTGCACAAGTTGTCAGAGAAAAATGTAAACGAAACCCAAAACATAGTACACGCAGATAGGGAGTCTGTCACAAACTTACCAATTATAGATTACTGTTTTTTTTCACAATTATCCTACAAACTTCAAATTATGTATACTTATGTTTAGACACTCTGTCACAACGATATAGGAATTGTTTTCAGAATTTGTTTATGATTGATTTTTTTTTAATTTTGTTTAACTTGCTGTGTTAACATTTACATTTGAAATTGTATCTGTATTATTTCTGGTATATCATGTTTACTATTCACCATGTAATGATGTTTTCATGTTTAATATATGTATTCCTTTTTTGTTCAGGGCCCCGAAGTATAACCTTATCTTAACTAATGATGTGGCTACCCAGTTGAAATAAATAAATAAATCATCGTCGTCATCACCAAAACAATCATCATCATCATCACCATCACCATCATCAACATCATCATCACCATCACCATCATCATCACCATCACCATCATCATCACCATCATCATCATCATCACCATCACCATCATCATCACCATCACCATCATCGTCACCGTCATAGTCACTAGAACCATAATAAGGCATCCACTATTTATTTCTCCTTTCTTTTTACAGGGAATAATCTGTACTGGGTGGATAACATTGTTAGTAATCTGAAATCCCTGAACCTCTCTCAACCCGGATCTAACGTCACGGAATTGTACCAACTACCGATCGCCAAACCCGTTGGTATAGCTTTACACGGAGGGCATTTCTTTGCGTTGTATGGTGATTCTGTGATACAGTATCAGCTCGATACACCAGAGGATGAAGTCCGCTTTGATGTGACCGCCTGGTCCCTAGATGGAGTCCCATTTCAAATCAAAATGAAGAGGGCAAGGGGACTCTTTGTCAGACGGTTTTAGAGGGCTGTTTCCATATGCAGGGTCTAGTGATGGTTCTAGAGGTTTCCTTTGGAGGAAGAGTCAAACCCCCAATAATTCTTGGTATATAAAGATTATATCTTCACTAAACTTCATGGACGAAAATATTGTCGATCAATATAATATTAATAAATTAAGTTCTGAGAAGATATGAATCATATCTATCAAGTATAAATCATATTCCCACAACCCATCATGCAAAGAGATACGAACAATTTAGTTAAACTTTAGAGGCAACATTGCATTTTACTCTTCTCTTGCACTTTATTACATTTACAAATCGTATAGATTTAAAACGTTAGCATATTTCCACATTAACAAAATTTGAAACCTCAATATCACTTCCGTGGGTTTCATCAATAACTACTGCCTGTAAACAAGACAATATCGAATCATCTTTGTTCATGGGGTTCTAGGACAATAACCCCCTGGGCAATCACCCCCCGGAAAATTACCCCCCCCCCCGGAAAACTACTCCCCATGGACAATTACCCCCCGGAGAATTACCCCCCCCCCCCGGATAATTACCCCCCGGATAATTACCCCCCCGAGGACAATTACCCCCGAAGGACAATTACCCCCCGGAAAACTACCCCCCGGAAAATTACACCCCCGAGGACAATAACCTCCGAGGACAACTACCCCCGAGGACAATTACTCACAAAGGACAATTACCCCCGGAAAACTACCCCTTGAGGAATTACCCCCCGAGGACAATTACCCGCCCCCGAGGACAATCAGGATTCAATAGCAAAAGACGATCTGAGACGGCATGCAGCCAGTGAAAACGAATTCGTTTGATAAAATTATGGAAATGCAAGCACTACTTTAAACAAACAGACCTTTTTCATTCCTTGCTCATTTTTCCTGATTGAGGTGTCATACGAAAGGGCAGAGACTCAACTTTCTAAAAATGTGATTTTCGCTTTGAAATTCAGATACCGTCCGCCAAATGACTTTTTGGTTTCCTCTCATTTTCAAATTCATTTTAATCACTCATGCGTGAAAAATGCATCATATAAATGGCATCAAATGAAAGAGGAGGATCAAAGCTTTCCAAACATGTGTCATTTATTAATCGTAAATGTGAATAAGTTATGATAAAACATCGATAATTCTCGGTTTCGTTTTTTCTGTGACGCACTGTATAATAAGTCTCATTATATAGCTCTATCCTACCCCTTCACAGGTTTTTGAGTTTTGTTGTATTATAGAAATACTTTCTGTAGCGAAACTGTAGTATAACAACAAGCAATATAAGCCTACTTTTTCACTTTTCATTTTTACTTTGCCGGTAGTGAGTATGCAGTCCTAAGGGTTGTAAATATTCAGCAAATAGGCAGGAAGGGGCTTCTTAAAAGAGCAAGCGGAATATTAATTTTTGTAGCACTGTTTTTTCTATAACTCTTAATCTTGTAAAAATGCAGTGTAAACTGTGCTTACGGGATCGCCACCTCTGGTACACTTCTTATGTCTGAATAGACGATTAATATTTTTTAGTCTTATGATGTATATTTTGTTTAATGTTAATGGGATCATGTTTACAAGTTCTACCAAACTTTGTTTGTGATCCCACCACATTAACATTAATATTTTATATTTGCCTATAGCCCTACCATGTTGTCGTTTTTTAATATTTCATTGCCATGTTTTATGCATGTTTTGTGGAAATAAATTAAATTCAATTCAATTCAATGTAAACTGACTACTGGTTTATCGGGTTTGTTGGGAAAGGTTAATAACGTTTTACATAACATTAACTGTTCATTGTGAGGTTATGTAGTCTTATTGTCAAAGCGACAACGTATTCAAAGTAGCAGCATAGTTTCAATATAACATCAATGATTGTATGGTCTATTAGTTATAAAATGCGTCACCGATATTTAGTTTTGTGTGGATAATGTTGTTCTTCTCCATGCAGATGTTTTATTCACTTAGTACAATAATTGATGATGGTGATTATAATGATAGTATAAATAATAATAATAATAATAATAATAATAATAATAATAATAATAATAATAATAATAATAGAGATAATAATAATAATGATAATATTAATATTACTACTACTACTATTACTACTTCTACCACTACTATTACTCCTAATACTACTACTTATGATAACAATAACGATGATGATAATAGTACAGGTATGCACGTCCACCCCTGTAAATAATACCAGTGGATAGCAGGCACAGTGGATGCACCAGCTCATCCCCGAATACACGAATGGGAGGTTATAACTTTGTACGGGAATGCTCATGAATGTCAACAGGAAATTTTAGATTTACACGTCGACATAGTGGACTGCTACGTGTGACGTCATTTACTTAGAAGTTATTTTGTCTCATGTGTTTACCAATACATCAGATTTTTCCTACGTTTACATTTCTTCTCTGGTATTTTTAATTTCGAAAATTAAAACAAATTCTTAATTCCTATTTAAAGGTTAAAAACTAATATTAAAAAGGAAAAGATGCGGCAACACAATTTTGAAAATTTCTTTTTTTTTAGTGATGAAGAATTTAGTGGTGATGAATTGATATTGAGTGATCATGATTCTGGTTATGAAAGTGACGATAGAGAATCCATCTCCATTATTTCTTCTTACAGAGACGATGAAGAAGGGTATGAGGCGGGCGATGAGGAAGAAGAAAGCGACTTTAGCGGTGAGGAATTTGTTTTGAGTGATCATGATTCTGATTCTGGATGATGAAGGCGTGGAAGAAAGCGACATATGATTTGTCTAATATGTTTACCAATGCAACAGAATTGTCTAACATGTAAATTTCTTTTCTGGCAATTTTATTTTGCAATTTTTTTTCTCCTAATTCCTATTTAAAGATTAAAAACTAATATTAAAAAGAAAAAGATGCGGCAACAAAATTTTGAAAATTTCGGTTATTTTAGTGATGAAGATTTTAGTGGTGATGAATTGATATTGAGTGATCATGATTCTTGTTATGAAAGTGACGATAGAGAATCCATCTCCATTGTTTCTTCTTACGAAGACGATGAGGAAGAAGAAGAAAGCGACTTTAGTGGTGATGAATTGGTAGTGTCTGATCATGATTCTGGTTATGAAAGTTTCGATCGTGCAGAGGTGGAAAGAGCCCTCGGAGAAGAAAATGAAAGAGGGTATGAAGCGGACAATGAAGCCGAGGAAGAAAGCGACGTATGATTTGTCTCATGTGTTTAACAATACAGCATATTTTCAAACATTTAAAAATCTTCTCTGGAATTTTAATTTCGAAAAAAAATCCTAATTCCTATTAAAGATTAACATATATTAATTATATTACGAAATATAAGCCTGCAGAAATCATGAAAATATAAATCTCCATTTCTGACCCATATATTCGAGGAAATATTAAAGCTTGATATTGTTGCATAGTTTTGTTTTATCATTATGATTGTAATGATAATAGGTCCATTTATATAACGCAGCCACTATATGAATATAAACTACTGCGTGTGATACAAAGTATCATATTACTACCCCGGCTGTAGGGTTATATATGGCGGTAAAGCATTCAAGGTACTTCTTCCTATCGGATACCTATTTACTTCACCTTAGTGGAAAGTGGCAAATTTAGATTATTGGCTTGCCAAAAGACACTAGGGCCTTTTCGATTCTGCACGACGAGAACGTGGGCTGCCCTTTTAAGGCAATGTGACGTCCTTTTAAGGCACTGGTAGTGACGTCACATTTCCTTAAAAGGGCAGCCCACGTTCTCGTCGTGCAGTATAGAAAAGTCCCTATTAGTGCTGCGGCGGGACTTGAACCGTGCATCTTGTGATCAACAGTCCGGTGACGTAACCACTAGACCACAACACCGATTATTGTCATAATTATTCGTCATCCGCCAATGCTTGTAGTAAGATGTATTTATTTATGAAAAAAAACTAAAACATTCATTAGTCTTGCTCGTTTTGGTTTGGCCTAGGGACCTTTTAAAGTTAACTTTAGTCATCTTATGTTAGTGGATCACAATGTGTTGTTGTGTTGACTTTGTTTTATTGTGTGTTTTCTTGATGTTGATGTATTTGCGATAAAGTGTCGAGTTGCGCTAGGGTTAGCATAAATCACATTTTATCATGATACTAATGAGATGTGTAAGGCGCTAAATCTACTTCAAATCATATGCTCAAAGCGCACTTGTGCAACTGTTCTGCTATTACGAATCTATTGAGGGGAGCAATAATTGACAGCACTGAAGATCAGCCCTGCATAAGCAAACGTTCTCTTTCCCAGTTAGTATTAGGGTATTTATTCGCGAATTTCACCACACAGTTTTTTAAAACGACTTTTTCTTTTCATAATGTTTTCATCAGTATGGATTACATAGCAAAATATGTGACAAATTGTCGCAGCTATCAGTTACGTCGATTTTCTTAGACATGTATGTAGGGAAAAACACAATTACTGAAAATCTAGAGTTTACAAGGCTTTGAAGAAACAACGGGTGAATCGTTCAACGAGGGTAAGATGCTTTGCATTATGACCCACGTCATCTCGCATGAAGTTTGCCTTGAAGATATTGGGGGAAATAACTAAGGAAAGTAAAAGCATATAGGAAATAAAGAAGAAGAAGGAGAATAAAAGGGAAAGATAGATGGAGAGACTGGGAGAGAGAGAGAGAGAGAGAGGTAGATAGAGAGAGAGCGAGAGAGAGAGCAAGAGACAGAAAGAGCAAGAGAGAGAAAAAGACAACGAGAGGGAGATATATATCAAGAGAGAGAGAGAGAGAGAGGTGAAAGAAAAAGAGATGAGGGGGAGGAATTATATAGAGAATAAATTGAGAGCTCTTATTTTATAAACGCGTAACGTTGTATTGACGTGAAATTAGTTTGCATATTTAATGAAAACGTGACTTTAGCGGTCTTTACAATATCCATCCAATCACGATTTTGATAATTTTGACCGTTCGCCAAAAAGCACTTGTAATCTATTCCAGATTTGTATATATTTTTTTCTTCATTTTTTTCTCTTTAAAGAAATGAAAAGGTAAAATAATAAAGACCTGCTCTGACCACCCTTGGCTCGTTTCCAAGTTTCTTTGCATAAAAGACCAGCAAACCAAAGAAATAGACCAAGTGATCGTTTACTTTGATAGCTGCCCTTGTCACAGTAAAGAGCGCTAAAAGCCACATCGCTAAAATGGTGAGTTTTTTTAAATTTCATCCTAAACATTACGTTTGTGTCTGCTTGTTTGTTGTCTATTTGTCATTTACCATAGTAAGTAACGTACGTAAATACAATGTTTATACTGTTGGTGTAGCAGTTAGCCAATGTCCCCTGTTTCCCTTCATATTTGTTATTATAGACCGATACTTATATACAATAGTATACATCGACTATTCTAACCTTTCATTGTCTATTGCTAATTGTAAATGTCTCTATTTTGATTATGAAAAATATATGCACCTGTATTTGTACGGCTCATGGCGTGTTCGAGGTAGCCATTTAGTTCCTGTTTTCTTATCTGGGACGCACTGAATATAGTTCTAACAAACACGTTCATGTGAATTCCGGATGATAAACTTAGATTTTGTCTTATCCACATGTTCAGCTCTGGCTTTACTATTTAGAATAGTTTCCATTTACAATAAGATGTATCACTTTAAAAACAATTCAAAATAATGTCCGAATGTTATTTTCGGGATTTCTAATTTTCATGACCCTGCCATTTGATTCGATTTCGATATTCAATAGATATAATGTAGAATTTGTTATACGGTGCAGAAAAAGTCTAAATAACCTGGCTAATAACCAGCCCGTCTGGACACACACTGCGTGTTGGTAACATAGGTTAACTCTCGATTGCAAAATAACCACGCAGACAGTGCCATGTTGGATATAAATCAAACCTACACTGCTATAATATGTATCTTACAGTTTTTGTTGGACATTTTAAAAACTTCATGTTACATTGTCATTATCATTCAGAACATCATTGCAGTTTGGATTGTGGTATCACTCTCGGCATCTGCCTCAGGTAAGACTTTTCTCATCTGTTTAATTTGCATCCTCTCAACATTATTCTTATATCAGAAATAAACAATCTGGATATCATATTAAACAATATATATGTATTATGAGACAAGTATTTCCGTAAAGCACGGACATGGAGAAAGATTTCTGGATGTAACTAAAAGTACATGACGCAAAGTCGAAAATCCGCTTTAGGCAAAGTCATATCAGGGATCATTTTGTTTATTTTGTTTATTGGTAGAATCCGCTCTCAAATTAGTCACTACTTTGAAGTGGGTTCTACTACTATAACTATAATTTTCGAGTGAATCCAAAGCCTCACAAACACAAGAAGGGGTCCATAATAATTAAACTCAGGGGCGTAAATCCCAGGGGGATGGGGGGGGGGGGGGCTGCATCCCCCCCCTGGCTTGAAGTAAGGGGGATGGTCTGTAAAAACATCCCCCCTGATATTACAACAAAAAGAGAGAAAAAAAAGGAAGAAGAAGAAGAAGAACAAAATGTGATTGTTTCAGTTTCAGCATAATGCATGAGAAATTAGTTATTTTGTTTATGTATGTATAACTGTATAGCCTACACATATAGTCACAGTATGTCACTATCATTAAGAATATTTGCGCGACTTGCGCGAACAAGCACTTCATAAACTTCAGAATAATACGAAACCCACTATATACACAAAATGCATTGGGCCGCGCCCCTGCCAGCCGGTCACGCAGTCTTCTGCATATTGCACCGCATGCATGCTCCGCTCTCTCGCGCTAGCAATTCAGAACAATTGTTCCCGCCCGCGCGATCTAGGGGAGGTAGGGGCCAATAGGTTACCTTGACGACTGCACTGATCTTGATTGCGCCGTGTGTGGTCGAACGGTCAGTATAAAGCGCCGTTGCAGGTTAGACCGTTTCAGGAACGGTCTAAAGTTCGCCTTCTCGTCTTCTTTCTATAATAATTATATCAAACGTCTAAGGTTTTCGCGCTTCGCGCGGGAAGGGGAAACTGAATTCAGACGAGAATTAAGAGTCGAGAACAGTACACCTAATCGTCTGCTTTCTCTAACAATTTAAGGAAACGTCAAGGCTTCCGCGCTTCGCGCGAGAGGGGGAACTGAATTCAGATAAAGAGGGCTTATTAAGAGTCGAAAACGGTACAACGAATCGTCTGCTTTCTCTAATAATTTAATGAAACGTCAAAACTTCCGCGCTTTGCGCGGGAGGGGTAAACCGAATTCATACAAAGATTAACAGTCGAGCACGGTTTAACAAATCGTCTACTTTCTCTAATAATTTAAGGAAACGTCAAAGCTTCCGCGCTTCGCGCGAGAGGGTGAAACTGAATTCAGATAAATAGGGCTTAATAAGAGTCGAAAACGGTGCAACGAATCGTCTTCTTTCTATAATAATTGAATCAAACGTCTAAGCTTTTCGAGCTTCGTGTGGGAAGGGGAAACTGAATTCAGACGAGAAATAAGAGTCGAGAACAGTACACCCAATCGTCTGCTTTCTCTAATAATTTAAGGAAACGTCAAGGCTTCCGCGCTTCGCACGGGGTAAACCGAATTAAGACAAAGATTAAGAGTCGAGCACGGTTCAACAAATTGTCTACTTTCTCTAATAATTTAATGAAACGCCAAAACTTCCGCGCGGGAGGGGGGGAACTGAAATCAGACAAGGCTTTACAGTCGAGAACGGTACTGCAAATCGTCTTCTTTTTATAATAATTTAATGAAACGCCAAAGCTTTCGCGCTTTGCGCGGGAGGGGCGGGGGAATTCATACAGACAAGGGTTAACAGTCGAGAACGGTACAATAAATCGTCTTCTTTTCCTAATAATCTAAGGAAACGTCTAAGCTTCCACGCTTCGCGCGGTAGGCTTATATCACCCACACCCCCGAATGAGCGCGCTTCGCGCACTCTTTGAGTGATTCGCCTGCTCACTACCGCCCCTCCCTAAAATGAGATCCTAGCTCCGCGCCTGCATTAAAATATATAGCTATGATGGTGACTAAGTTGACGAAATAATTCGTTTATTTATGTCGTCGAGGAAAATGACCATTTGCGCATACGCAAGTACTATAGATAGTCCGTAGGAAAAACAATTTAGCATTCGGCCCGGGTATATATATAATTTTCTAAGCGATGGGACTCAAAATAAAGAGTTCACATCTTCCTGACGAAATACTCAATCTTTATGTTACTACTTGAAAGTGTGTCGTCTTATTTCGAAAGTTCATTATAATAAAACACTACAGTTTGCAGCTGTCAGTATTTCGAAATATATGTCCAATTATTTTACTTTATGGTTGTCAAATTTGGCATGTGCGTGCATGTATGTATGCATGTATAAATTTATGTATATGTGTTTGGGTATGTGTGTGTTTGTTGTGTGTGTGCGTGTGTGTATGTGCGTGTGTGTGTGTGTTTTGTGTTTGTGCGTGCGCGATCGCGCGCGCTTGCGTAAATTAGTGTGGGCGTGTGCTCGTGCTAGTATGTGATGGCTATCGCCGATCATCCCCCCACTCCTCGGTACGGATTCACGCCCCTGATTAAACTCGTAACCAAGTGGCTTTCTATTCATTTGCGTTAACTCATAAGCAGAAGAGTGTCTCCTTTTAATTATGTTTCGAACTGGAATGCTACGAATCGCATATAGAATGAGTAAAAATCACACACAAAAACCTTCTTTTCAGGAGAAAATTATTCCATTTTGAACCGTGTACAATGACCCAATGTTTACACATACACATTTGCATTAGGCCTATACATGCAGCACGTTTCCCGTTTTTAAACATAATTCATTTTTCGGAGACCAAAAAAAAAATTCAGTTGTAAAACTAGTCCTTTTCTTTATAACCTATATCATGCGAATTTATTATTTCAAATATCAAACTATACTTAGCTACCAGCCTGGGAAAATGCCCTACACCAGTCTGTTTTAAGCCGTCACATGTCCTACGCGAATCAGAAGACAACGAACTAAAACACCTGTTCTTCAGAAACCAGTCACCATGGTTACCTCGTGACATGACCATATTAACGTGCGCGGAACCGGGTAAATGCATTCTTATTTTGATTTGACTTGATTTTTGATTTGATGTTTATGTATTCCATATAATCAACATATTTATATTTACAACCTTATAACCTTAGTTGTATGATAATTACATGGTATATACAGAAAAGGGGTAATCTTAAGCCTTATTTTGACTTATCATTTTGGCGTAAAAATAGTGAATGAATATTAATTATGTTTTTTCTTTACACATGGTAGCTTTTACTTCTATTCAGTTCATAGAAAACACGAACAAACAAACAAATACACCGGTACATATATACCGTTCTTAATGCATGTACCGTTCCGTGCATGTAAGAGCAATCCCTGTGCTAATGGAGCTTCATGTTGGGAAGAATTTGAAGGGTTCTCATGGTGCAACCCTGACGTCATAGGACCTATCTTGGTTGGCTGGTTATTTTACCTGACTGCTAAGGAGGATTAATGCCTTACCAAAGGGCACTAGCGCATCGCCTTGGTTTCGAACCCGGGTCACTTGATTACGAGACCACTCATAGGACCTATCTTTAACAAGCCCGGATGTAAGTCCTTGGTTCATTTCCTTCACTCAATATTTAAAATAATGCCATGAATTTAAAGCAAGATTGCACTCCTTGTATCTACCTGCGCCCTCTATATAGCCAACAATACCTAAACGGTACCAAATGGTCCACATGATCCCCTTTTTATTATGTTAATTGAGAGCTGATTAGATGAGATAACCACCTGCCAGTGACCTCGCAGGGAGGTCTAATCCCTTCCGGCAAAACTAGTGTAGATGGGCTTTAAAACAAATTAACAATATTTGCATAATCATAGTAATAATAATTGATTCTTATTGAGCCGCTATTACAGGCAAACTGATCAGAGCGCTATAAAACAGAAAAGAAACATACAAATCATAACAATCAAATAAGGAACAGTAGTTAAAATATTATGAACGAATTGAAATTTAGATACTCAAAACTTACTTTGACGAGTCAAGATAGAAAGAGTTGGGTTTAAGTTTGTTTTTTAAAGTGTCTTCTCGACTACAAAGGCGGAGAGTTTTTTTTTAACATAAATTTATTTTTAAAATGTGCTTGAAGCTTCATTTGTTCAATACTGGAATGACAACCCATATTGCTATAAAAAAAAGCGTAAATGTAAGTGATGATACCACAAAGTGAATCATACACGGCAATTCGAAGCAAAGTAGCAACTAGAGGTGACTAATAAAGCCCGGTATTTAATGGCATAAGGTGAAATATATGATAAGTGACGTATTCAGCACAATAAGATAATGAAGTCGGAGTCGATGTAGCCCTACCCGCTCCCCTCTCCCCATTGAAGACGAAGAACAATATACTTATGCACCTTGATAAAATAGTCTTCTCAAACGGAGATGCCAAACCTCACCTCCCTCTTTATCCCGTTCCTCTTTGTTATCGTACATAAATGGGATTAGTTGGCTCAGTCAGTAGAGCGTCCGCCTCACAACCGGGAGGTCGTGGGTTCGAATCCCGGCCGCGTCATACCAAAAGACGTTAAAAGATGGGAGTTGTTGCTACCTTGTTTGGCGTTCAACAATAAGGGATAGAGCAACGTCGATCTGGCGCTGCTCAGTGGCTGCCGGGCTCACGATCAATTGGGCAAAAAGAATTTCCGTTTCGGTTTAATAAAATTTGGAGTGGACTATTAGGCTATTATTATTATTATATTATTGTGTTATTTAATTAAAAATAGCGATTGTTACCTCACTGCCTCATAGTCTCGTCGTTTAAATATAATAATGTAAAAAGTATGAATGAGATATCTGATTTATTATCATGCATTATATTCCCGAAGAGACCTGTGGTAGCACGTAATTTTGTCCCTTGTTCCTGGCATTTTTACTTATTTATATTTGTTTCCTGTATTTTGAAACTATATCTTTGATAATTGTTATCCTTTATTGGGCAGAATATTGACAATGATCCTACAAATCTGGATTTTAGTCAATAAAACAGAATTTCTATTTCAATTTTATTAATCAGAAAACCCCTCAGACGCCCAGACAGACGACCAAGCAGCCGATTCCATAAACGATCAAAGAAACGATAAATCGCGCAATGAAACAGCGGATGGATCGCACAATGAAACAGCCGATGGATCGCACAATGAAACAGCGGATGGATCGCACGATGATACAGCCGATGGATCGCACAATGAAACAGCCGATGGATTGCACGATGATACAGCCGATGGATCGCACAATGAAACAGCCGATGGATCGCACAATGAAACAGCGGATGGATCGCACGATGATACAGCCGATGGATCGCACAATGAAACAGCCGATGGATTGCACGATGATACAGCCGATGGATCGCACAATGAAACAGCCGATGGATTGCACGATGATACAGCCGATGGATCGCACAATGAAACAGCCGATGGATCGCACAATGAAACACCCGATGGATCGCACAATGAAACACCCGATGGATCACACAATGAAACACCCGATGGATCGCACAATGAAACACCCGATGGATCGCACGATGAAACACCCGATGGATCGCACAATGGAACACCCGACGAATCGCAAGATCAACCGATCGGCCGTACGGTTGTTCTCATGTCAAGTGACGATCGCATTGTGATTTTTGGGAAAGCACGTGATGACGAGTCTCTAGAGTTCATCACCTATCATGCTTTCACGGTATCAGGCAAACCGAGTATAGTAGACTTCGATCCAGTCTCTACGTCGATTTATTGGTCTGATTCAAACACTATCAACCGATTACACTTGGAAACATACTCACAATCTGTGATCGTCTCCAACGCAAGCAAGTATTATAAAACTATTTCACATTATTTCAAATATTCTAAATTATATCCCTTCTATGAATATTCATAAGTTTTCTAAATACATGATTGGTCAATTGGTGGTCACGTGATAAAATATAATTTCACTATTTGAAAAAAAATCTCTGCCAGAGCTCCGAATATTTTCCATTTTTTTTTCATGGGCAGAACCGCGCATGCTCTATGAGATTTTCAGGTAGAAAAGCATTGTGACATCACATCATGGTCAGTCAAACATAATGCGCAATTAGCGCGTCTTATTAAATTGGCGTTAATATAATTGTGCGCAAATTAAATTGACAAATTCAAACTGATTGTAAACTTCTCCAATACCCGGCCCAAATGTTGGTGACATAAGAATAAAGTTAAAAACCATATGCCATCCATTCATTAGGTCAGACGTTCGGATCGTAACGAAGTGATATAAAACAAATATACCAAGCATTTAGTTCGTAAGAATAGTGGAAATTGTGTATCTTCGGAGGGACTGGCAACAGTTACTATTTTTTCCTCGGGGCTTCGCCCCTCGGAAAAATTAGTACTAAGCCAGTCCCTCCTCAGATAAATAATTTCCACTATTCTTTCTCACAGCTTCGTATATTTGAATATTACACCGCAATAATTAGGCCCATTTTATCGGGAATAATCAAAATTACTTCACTGTAGGCAGTCGAAGTGGTCACGTGACACCATGTCACACGTGATAAAGCAAACAAGTTTCCATCAAAAAGTGTAATGTATCAAATAAGATTATGAATGGACATTTTCCCTCATACCTGATATTCCGCTTTTTGATCAGGGGCCTGTTTCATAAAACTTGATATCTATAACAAATGTTAGATTACTATAACAAATTAGCTTTCAGCCAATCAGATCCCATGATTTCAATAGCTTGTAACAGTAGCTTGTAACATGTTATTGATATCAAGTTTTATGAAACAGGGCCCATATGGTATCCCTCATTACAGTCTTCCCGGTCCTTGCGATATCCATTTAAAAGGGGTGAAAGGGGAACCTCTTGGGGCTTCACTTGAATGTCTTGATCTGCATTTCATGAAAGGTTGAGGTTGAACGTGAATAAGGAGTGACAAGAACCTATGCCTTTGCTAATTGGAGCCATCATTTAATAAGTTGTAGAGGCATATCTATAAACCTATAGCGACAACTCCTGTACTCGTCCCCAACGCACTACCCAGTCCTATACATGTGGTATGATACTTAAACCCGTTGATTACTAAATTCTCTTATTCCCATAGACCTAAAACAGGGACCACCCGGTTAATGTAGATAATAGGTTAATGGTGCACAATAGCTACCTAAAGGCCCGCTCCCACAGCCCTGCGAACTTACGAAGACCATGCCGATCACCCCGATCTAAAAGAGTTATCAAATCGGGGGAACTATCGCCGTGAAAATCCAGCAATTTGGCAAATTAAAGATTACATCACGACTGTACTGCGTTGCTCTCGCTGCCACTACGATTACACCTAGACCAAAATGCCGACCAAATGGTCGTTACCACTATGTTGTTGCTACGCCGAACATGACCATGATACGTTGTTTTACAGACCTAGAAGACTGTAGGACGATGTCGCTACGCTGCATGGTGCTGGCCATATTACGCTTCTAGTACGCTTCTACTACGATTTGTGGCGATGTCTTTATAAATCAGGGGTGTTCAAGCTTCTCTTCAGTTCTTTCCTAACTTCGAAGCTGAACGGCCTAAAGCGGGTCGAAATAGTTGACGACAGTGCTGCGTTTTTATTACGAGATTTGTACGCATACGTCTCAAGACGATGCTAGCACGCTGCTTGTACAATATTGGCGTTCCCACTACGTTATTAATAAGACATTGTCCCGCTTATAGTTGACCAAGAACCGGCTACGCTTATTTTGTGCAGGTTCAGAATAAACGTTGGGAGAGCAGGCAGCTTCCCGATCTGGGAGATCCAAACCCGACCAAACTACGTTCATGGAGATCCTCCCACGTTTGGCCCCAGTGGCGGATCCAGGCATTTTTATGGAGATGACCCCCCCCCCCCCCCCCCCAGTGAGCGAATTATTGGCCGGCTAATTATTTTCTCACGAATTTGGCCCCTCCCCTACCGCCGGCTGGATCCGCCCACGATTAACCCCGATTGGCCACGCTCTCAGCCACGTTTCGACCGTTGTAGAAACGCCGTGTGACCGGGGTATTAGCTATATACATGGGCATGATTACGTTGTGGCTATTACAAAAACAAAAAAAAATCCCTCTACTACTGATGAAATATTGCCTTCCTATGGAAATTCATTGTGAACTGTTATGTTTACGTGTATAGGTGTCGTGTCTTTTGCATTGGACATGGCTGGGGGGAAACTGATCTGGATGGATGATGAAGAAAAGGCCATGATGAGGTCACAACTAAATGGCAGCGAGCCGAAGACAATACTTGGTAGTATCAAACGTTCTACGCACATAACCTTGGATACATTGAATAGGTAAGAAGTCCCGTGCCCCCTCAAAAAAAACATGAGGCATAGGGGAATATGATTAGAAATCTTGTCCATTTTAAAGGGATAGTTGAGTTCTTGTTTCGAACCGCAAATACCTGCAAAGTGCATGGTTATTGCTCTTATTCTTATTTATGACATTTCTAGTGCTCTTACAGGACCTAAAATTGCTGTGAAGGCAATTTTAGACCCCAAAATGTGTGTAATGTAGCTATACGATCATACCAATTCGGCTCCACTTTCCAGAAAATATGGTAACCGTTCATTAATAAAATAATTAATAATAACTATACACGGGCAGGCTGGTTGTGCGTATTATAACCAGCATGAAAAGCCAATAAAAGCCCCAAATCTGCGTCGGCTGCAATTAATGTAATAAAGCGCTATCTTGTTTTTTTTTTCGTCAACGGCTGGTTCCAAAGCAGTCTCTGAACCGATTTTGATCAAACAAAGATGATTTAGTCATTTAAATTGTATGTTCTTCCAAATTTGACATTTAAGTTTTCATTATCTCAACAAACAAAAAGTTGTGTATCACCCTCTGCAACAAAACTATTCCTTTAAGTTAAATGTTAGGTGAGCAGACATTAGGCCCCATCGTTTTATAAGATTGTGAATGAATATTTTTTTTCCCAATGCCTGCTATTCCAGCGTTTCGTGATTCTTGCGATACCCATGTAGCGCTGGATTACATTTGTCAAAAGAGTATTGATGAACATCGCCATTGTCCCTCTTATAGGAGAGGTATCGTGGTCTAGCGGATTTGTCACCGGACTGTGGATCACATGGTTCGCGGTTCGAGTCCCGCCGTGACACTAATGTTCTTTGGCAAGGACATTAATTAACTTTGATTTGCAACTCTCCACCCAGGTAAAGTAAATAGGTACCCGGTAGAAAGAAATTCCTCGAATCCTTTAGCGCCCTATTATGGCAGCTCAGCTACAGCCGGGGTAATAATAGTGATATGATGATACTAGTAGTTGCGCTACTAAATGGACCTATTATTATATATTCCACACCTTTCTATTCCTCTCCCGCTCTCGCACCTTTCTTTCTTTCTCTCTCCATATCTCTCTCCATATCTCTCTCTTTCTCTCTCTCTCCCTCTCTCTCCCTCTCTCTCTCCTCCTCCTCTCTCTCCTCCTCTTTCTCTTTCTCTCTCTCTATCTGCCCTCCTCTTTCTTTCTCTCTCTTTCTCTCTCTCCCTCTCTCTCCTCCTCCTCTCTCTCCTCCTCTTTCTCTTTCTCTCTCTCTATCTGCCCTCCTCTTTCTTTCTCTCTCTCTCTCTCTCCCTCTCTCTCTCTAAGTCCCTCTAAATTGTTTTATGTTTAAATAATGATGTTCTTTGTTGATATAGTGGTAAATATTTTTGTCCTAATAGATGGCTGTACTGGGACGCCAAGGACCCCGAACGCATACTATATAGAACGAGCTTGGATGCACCTGGAGTCGAGGTCTTCACCATGTCACCAATAGACGTGATAGCCTGCTTGTTTATTGGTAATCAAGGTAAAAGAACCCGAGAATTATCGATGTTTTATCATATAACTTAATCACAATTATAATTAACAAATGACACATATTTGTAAAGCTAAGATCATCTTCTTTCATTTGATGCAACTCAAATGGTGCATATTACTCGCATGAGTGATTAAAAACAATTTGAAGAAAGGGTACATTTGGCGAACGGTGTTTGAATTTCAAAGAGAAAATCACATTTCTAGAAAGTTAATTTTCTGCCCTTTCAATTGACACATCAATCCGGAAAAATCAGCCAAAAATAACAAAGTTCTATTTGTTTAAAGTATTGAATGATCTGCCCGATGATATGGCGGTTATGTTTAGTGCCTTAAACCCAAATGACATAGTATATTGAATAGTGATTCTAGACAGGGTTAAATCATGGATTTACCTTAATAAACTATCCCTTATTACGGATAAGACCAACTTCTTATTTATAGGGACACATCAAAAACTACGACATATCAAGGCACCGCTCGACATAAAGATCGTTGATCTGCACATTCGACATTTAAAACATCAGCAAATGCTGATGCACTGGTATTACCATATTTTGACTATTGTTGCACCTCGTGGTCAATTATTGTAATCAAGGTCTTCGGAACACACTGGTTAAGTCGCATAAAAACAGATGGCTAAGATTGTATTCTAAATCAATCTACCTTATCCCCGAGTTAAGAAATGTTTTCAAAAGTCAAGAGGACGAACATGAAAAACGTTTGCAATTCCAGAAATGTAAACTTATGTTAAATAGATACTTTAATTCCCCTCATACCTTCACGATATGTATACTCAGTCTGCCAGAACGCATCGTTATATCCCATAAAACCTCTGATACTCGTGGATTAGACATCCACAATTTTTAGAAGGTCCTTTTAATGTTAAGGTGCAATTATCTGGAACAACCTCCCTAGTGAAGTACAAAATGCACAAATCAAGCAGTCCTTTTGCACAAGTTATTTGAGAAAAATGTAAACGAAACCCAAAACATAGTACACGCAGATAGGGAGTCTGTCACAAACTTACCAACTATAGATTACTGTTTTTCTTACAATTATCCTACAAACTAAAACATGATTTAGACTTATGTTTAGAAACATTTACATTTTAAATTGTATCTGTATTATTTCTGGTATATCATGTTTACTATTCACCATGTAATGATGTTTTCATGTTTAATATATGTATTCCTTTTTTGTTCAGGGCCCCGAAGTATAACCTTATCTTAACTTATGATGTGGCTACCCAGTTGAAATAAAACGAAATAAATAAATAAATCATCATCGTCATCACCACACCAATCACCATTATCATCACCATTACCATCACCATCATCATCATCATCATAATCGTTATCCTCATTATTATCATCATCAATTTCATCATCCCTTTCACAATCATAATTATCATCATCACCGTCATCATCATCATCATCATCATCATCATCGCTATCATCACTAGGCATCGTTCGTCATTATTATTAAGCAGAAGCAAGGGATAAGAGTAAATTATAAGCCACCATAAAACAAAACTATTGTCATTGTGTATTTAATAAGGCGTATCCGGACACTTATCCCCTTGACATCCACCCCCGGATAACCACCCCAGTCAACTACACCCTAGGACAACTACCCCCTAGGGCAAACATCCTTTAGGACGAATACCCCCAGGAACACCTACCCCCGGAAAACTACCCCCATACAACTACCTCCCAGGACAACTACCCCCTAGGACAGCTACCCCCGGACAACGACCCCCGGGGGTAGTTGTCCAAGGGGGTAGTTGTCCCGGGGAGTAGTTGTCCTAGGGAGTAGTTTTTCTAGGGGGTAGTTGTCTTAGGGGTAGTTGACTAGGGGTTGTTATACGGGGGTCGATGTCCAGGGGGTAGGTGTCCTAGAACCATAATAACGCATCCACTATTTATTTCTCCTTTCTTTTTACAGGGCGTAATCTGTACTGGGTGGACAACGATAGCCAATCCCTGAAATCCCTGAACCTCTCTCAACCCGGATCTAACGTCACGGAATTGTACCGTCTAAATGTTCTCAGACCCTCCGGTATAGCTTTACACGGAGGGCATTTCTTTGCGTTGCATGGTAATTCTGTGATACAGTATCAGCTCGATACACTAGATGATGAAGTTCGCTTTGATGTGACCGCCTGGTCCCTAGATGGAGCCCCTTCTCAAATAAGAATGAAGAGGGCAAAAGGATTGTTTGTCAGACGGTTTTAGAATGGCTGTACCCATAAGCAGGGACCAGTGGTGGTTCTAGAGGTCTCCTTTGGACGATCGAGGAGTCAAATCCCCATTAGTCTTTATGAGCCACGTGTTGGAAATGAATGCAAGAACCTCCAAGACCCACCCCCTCGGATTATATCTTCTATAAAAACTTCATTGACGAAAATATTATTGATCAATATCATATTAATCAATTAAGTTCTGATATATTATTATGATATATTCTTATATACCGAACTTAATGACATTTCAGGCATGTTGTTGATGATTGATTTTGAAAAGGCCTTCGATTGTATATCTCACAAGTTTCTAATCAATGTCCTTGACTTTTTTCATTTTGGGACATCGCTGAAAAATGGATTCATCTATTTTATCAAAATGCATATTCTTGTGTCACAGTAAATGGTTTTGCACAGAGAGATTTACTATAGGACAAGGGTGTCGTCAAGGAGACCCATTATCTCCATACCTGTTTTTACTTGTTAGCGAAATATTAGGAGTTTTGATTCGACATTCCAATGATTTAATTGGCTAGCATCTACAGGGAAAAAATAGTAAACTACTACAATACGCAGATGACATTATTTGGACACTTAACGGTACAAAAGAAGATTTACAGAGCTCACTGAAAATATTGGGTGATTTTGAGGAAATGTCATACCTAAAGATCAATATTACAAAAACTCATGTGATATGGCTTGGGAAAAATAGAGCCTGCAAAAAACAGCTAATGCCAGAGCACAAATTAAATTGGGTATCAGAAGGTTATTCCAGATACTTAGGAATAGATTTTTCGGTTAACTTAGTAGAGATGGTAAATCATAATTATACTGAAAAAATTAAAGATATAAAATGCCAAATTATTTCATAGTCTAAACGAACTTTAACTGTCATCGGAAGAATAATTGTAGTCAAATCTTTGTTGGTGCCAAAATTGAACTATTTACTGCTTTCAATTCCAGAACCGAATTCGCAAATTATGAAAGATATAAATCGTTCTCTTTATGCATTTATATGGGGTAACAAACCTGATAAAATCAATAGAGAACAAATGTGTCAACTATGATAAAGGTGGGGTTAAGATGATTGATATTTACATTCATGCTAAATCCCTGAAGATATCATGGATCAGAAGATTTGTAACTGATTTTCAGATAGAAAGTTTCACTTTTCACATGTTCAATTCATTCTTGCCCCAGACATATTTGTTTCACCTGTATATGGGCTCACATTATTTTAGAAAATTAGCAGACTTGACTCCAAATCCATTTTGGAGAGAGGTCCTTCTCGCTTGGTCAGACTTGGTCGAACTTCTTATTGACGACATTGCATGTCAACCTCTCTGGAATAATCCCAACATTAAAATGAATGTCAAAGTGGTATGTTTTGGGGTTTGGAATCTATGAGAAATACGTTTTGTGAACGACATCCTAAAAGTGGATGGTTCTTTTTTTTTTCTTCATATTTTGAGTTTCAGCGGAGATTTGACATACAAACAAATCTCCTCCAGTACTATTTGGTCAAGTTTTAAAATGAGTACACATGTAGCTCCTAGTAAGGCCTTAGAACCTATCATTCCTGAAGCCGTGCACCTTGTGGTGAAAAAAAATGTTGGTTGTTCACATATTTATAAGTCTTTTCTTAAAAGCAAAGTAAAATAATGTAAAGCTCTTACAAAGTGGAAACGTTTTTTTAGATTTTCAAGATGTACTGTGGGGTTCGTACTGTCAAATTCCATTTCAGTCAACAACAGATATCAACATGAGGTGGTTTCAAATCAAAATTTTAAATAGAATGTTATATATGAAGGACAGTTTGTTAAGATTTGGTGTAGTGGCTGACAAGAAGTGTACTTTGTGTAGTAGCAATGATGAAACTATCATACATGTTATTTGCTTTTGTAACTATTCTAGTGAAGTATGGTTCAAGTAAGAGTTCTGGATATTTCGTATTATTGATCAATATAATGTTAATAAATTAAGTTCTGAGAAGATATGAATCATATCTATCAAGTATAAATCATATTCCCACAACCCGTCATGCAAAGAGGTACGAACAATTTAGTCAAACTTTAGAGGCAACAGTGCATTTTCTTCTTATCTTGCTCTTCATTGCAATTACAAATCTTATGGTTTTTAAAACGTTAGCATCTTTGTAGTAGTATTTCCACATTATTTTTTTGGAAACCTCAATATCATTTCTGTGGTTTGAACACGACAATGTCGATTCATCTTTGTTCATGGACGTTAGTTATAATATATTGTAAGATGACTTGTTTATCAGTCAGACATAGCTTCGAAAAACCGAGAACGAGCAAATAATTCGAAAGCAGCGAATAACGACCATTGAACATAGAGCCCCCAACGTTGAATGCAAGGCAGTGTGAACATAAGGAAGAGTTTTTTTGTTGGATAAATGATGTCGTAGATATATTTTAAAAATATATATGTAAAAGGCATGTTATGAACCCGATCATTAACGTATTTAAAAGTAATTGAGCCACATAATTATCTTATATATATGTTTATATATATATATATATATATATTATACAAATAATGTCCCTATAGCCCTGTATAATACTTGTAACTACAGTGCCCTCTTGTTTCGGAGTTGCAAAGTGCTAAAATAACGTAGGCATTATAAATATTACTGAAGCCAATATTAGTTAACTATAATAACTATAATAAGTTATTATTAAAATTTATTTTTCGATTTATATAGCGCCTAATATGGATGATAAGCGCTTTACAATGATATTATTAGCCCGGTCATAGGAAACAATGCAAATCACCACACATTGTGTGCACAATCTCAACTCCCTACGGAGAAATCCTCCTAAGCGGCTCATGGGCATTGAGAAGATATTTCACATGAGGGCTTTCCCCTCCTATACAGGGTCCTCATTTTTACACCTGAGTACAGAGCATCAATAATTGTGAATAAATTGTCAAGCTGATGGACAAAAAGGCAGTGGGAAGGGTTCGAACTCGGGATCCTATTATCGGAAAGCGTGCGCTCAACCAATCTTGACAAGCCACATGCACATGAATGTGCTTATAGCGCGAATTTCTGAATATACTAGTACAGGAAGTCGGTCAGATGACCCCCTTGGTCGACGTTCATGATTACAAATAAAATAGTAATCATATATAATTATAAACAAATATTGTCCCCATAGCCCTGTTTAATACTAGTAACTACAGTGCCCTCTTGTTTCGGAGTTGCAAAGTGCTAAAATAACGTAGGCATTATAAATATTACTGAAGCCAATTATTGTTAACTATAATAACTATAATAAGTTATGATTAAAATTTATTTTTCGATTTGTATAGCGCCTAATATGGTTGATAATCAATTCTAAGCGCTTAACAATGATATTATTAGTCCGGTCATAAGAAACAATGCAAATCACCACACATTGTGTGCACAATCTCAACTCCCGGGAGTTAAGTAAAATGTATTCAAAGCGTTTTACAGAAAAGTTGTATGTTTTAAATCGAATTAAATGTAGATGAATATAATACATCAAATCTTTAATCTAAGAGATATATGAAAAGTATTAAAAAGGTATCATAATACGTTATTTAAAATAGTTTATCCCGAGAGATGTATAGTACATGAATACGGTTACCATTAACTTTGATAACAATGATCATAGTAATAATGATAGAAATGATAATAATAATTATATTTAATACTAACAAAAAATGATAATAGGAGTAACACTAATGACGATAGATCGCGTCGTGTCATACTACTACTACTACTACTACTACTACTACTACTAATACTACTAATAATACTGCTACTACTACTACTACTACTACTACTACTACTACTACTACTGTTGCTGCTGCTGCTGCTGCTGCTACTACTACTACTTCTACCTGCTCCCTTTTAAATCGTCCACAAAACCATTGTTATTTCACAGAGTTATGTATACCTTCATGCAAAAAATATTACTACTATTACTACTTCTACCACTACTACTACCCCTAATACTAAAGGTATGCACGTCCACCCCTGTAAATACCGGTGGAAAGCAGGCACCATGGATGCACCAGCTTATCCCCGAATATACGAATGGTCATGAATGTCATTAGGGACTTTTAGATTTGCACGTCGACATAGTGGACTGCTACGCGTGACGTCCTTTTAAGACGCGTCACAGTGCCTCAAAAGGAAGTTACACGTAGCAGTCCACTATGTCGACGTGCAAATCTAAAAGTCCCTAATGATAACACCTCAAGTCATAGTCTGTATGAGCGGCAAAGGATGCTGTACACTTGGTGACATCCCCTCATTTTTTTTTTTTTTTAACAATTTTGTTTTATTTCTCCAGATGTGTAATACAAACCATGACATACAATTGAATAAAATAAACGTGTTCAATATTGATGCTTTTACATAAACATAATTAAACACAAACTTATTTGCAGTATAATATAACTTAACAACAAAGTAAACGTATAAGTACCTAAACATAATATGTCAATTGTAAATGTTATTTACTTATATATTACAAAAAAAAACAAATCTGGAGATAATTTTACTGAAACAATCCTGCCCCCTCCCTGCCCCCTACATCACACAGACATACTCACCCTCTATCACACAAACATACTCACCCACTCACACACATACTCACCCACCCACCCACCCCCCCCCCCCCCCCACACACACACACAGTACTCACTCAGTGGATGTCTGCCAACATTCTCAACTTAAGAAAAATATACTAAATAAGTTATCCAGGCCGCAAAATCGAGTTACGCTTTTAACAAGCTCACGGTGGAGAAGAAAGCAAATCTTAATTAATCTTAAGCTGCTCCCACTTTAAAAAATGTGATCCTAGCTTTCCCATTTTAATTGCTATTTTCTTTTCCTCATCCCTATACTTAAAAATGCTTTTTTTCATCTTTTCTAAAGTTAGTACTCGCCCCCCCGATCTTGACATAAATGTAACATACTTCACCATGAAAATGATAGTATTACACATTTTTATTCTATATGAACTACCTACCGACCCAACAAATATATCTCGCCATTCTAAATCTTTAATTTCATCTAACTCAAAAAGTTGTATTAAAGCCTGCCATAACCTTTGAACGCTCCCACAAGATAAAAATAAATGTTTGTATGTTTCTATTTCCTGCTTACAAAACGAACATAAATTATCACCAACAAAACCAAATCTATGAAGATGCTCATTAGTGTATATGGCTCCATGCAATAATTTAAATTGAAATTCACGTTGTTTTCTAATGAGTATAGTAATTCTTGGTCTCACAAATATTTCTTTTAATTCTTTATCTATAAAATCATAGTCATTTTGCCCATCCCTTACCTGCAAATCATACGTTCGCTGCAGTGCTTTGATGAAATAATCATAGATTGTTCTTGAACCCACATCCACAAACTGTATTTTTTTACTAGAAATATGGAAATAAGTATTAAAGCTTATCAAATCAACCTCGAGGAATTCTATTAACCCTGAATCATCCTTCCATAACCTGGGTATCGCATCATAAATATCAATAATCATAAGCAAATTATTACCTTTCATACCGAGGTTCATAAAATATTTAACAGGCTTAACATGACCTTTCTCAACCAAATGATTCAGTTGAACAATCCCTCTTTCAAACAAGTATCTATCAAATATACTTTTTCCATTTATACATATATTCTGATTATTAAAAATAATTGGATTAATATAACCCTCCAAATATCTTAAATTACTTGTCTCTTGCCATCCTTGCAACATTTCCATATAGTATGGTGGAATATCTAAAACGAGTTTAATCTTGTTTAAATCATAATCACATAAAAAAATAAATCTACCACCCACAAACTGTAAGCAATGATCAAAAAACAATTTCCATCCCAAACTTTTCTCTCCATATAAAAGACGTTTTATCCACATTATGCGCTGTATTTTAACGGACATTTCAAAATTAATCATTCTTAATCCTCCAAAGTCATAATCCTGATACATTATTGCCCGTTTAATTCTATCTTTCCCCCTCCATATGAATTCAAATGAAATTTTTGCAACTTCTTTATATACCCAATGAGGGACAATAACGAGAGATGAAATATAATTTAATTTTGAAAGCGCATAAGTTTTTAGCAAATGTATTTTACCCATAATAGTTAAATCTCTTTGTTTCCACCATACAAGCAATTTTTTTATTTTACTTAGAATTTCTTTATAATTCAAATCATCTTTTAAACTTCGATCTAATGAATAACTAACCCCTAAAATATGTATTTCCTTAACCAAATTTCCAAATAAAGGCCCATCAGGTTTGTTCTCATCCTCACCCATCCACATAAAATGTGTCTTTGTTTTATTCACTTTAAGACCACTAATTTTTTCAAATGATTCAAAAATATATTGCAACCTTCTAACCGAATCAATATCCTTCAAAAATATTGTCATATCATCTGCATATAACACTTGCCTAATTTCAGATTTTCCAAATGTAATCCCTTTAATACCGTTGTCCCTCCTTACTGCATGCGCCAAAATTTCGATGGCAACCAAAAACAAATATGGCGATAATGGATCCCCTTGCCTTACTCCCCTTTCTATTTCAAAATACCCCGTGGAGTGACCACCGTTCATAACACAACTACTTATCCCTTTATACAATAATTTTACCCAAGAGCAAAATGAATCTCCAAAACCGAACAATTTCAATATTTGAAATAAATATCTATGAGATACAGAGTCGAAAGCTTTCTCAAAATCCACTGCACACAAAAACCCTTTCCCTTGTTCCCCATAATGCATAGAATAAAATAACATGTCATCTATCAATCGTACAGCTTCCCCAATATTTCTATCTTTTATATATCCAACTTGATCATGATGAATTATTTCATTTAAAACCTCTTTCATTCTTTTTGCTAGAACTTTAGATACAATTTTATAATCTACATTCAAAAGCGTGATGGGTCGATAATTTTTTATATGGAGAGTATCTTTCGCTTCCTTCTCAATTAAGGTAATTACCCCTTGTTTTTGAGATGCCGTTAATTCCCCCCTTTCGTATGTTTCATTCAATACTTCTACTAACAAATCACCCAAAGCTGGCCAAAAAGTATAATAAAATTCAACTGTTAACCCATCATTTCCCGGGGTTTTATTCAATTTCATTTCTTTTAAAACTTTCAAGCATTCATCTTTAGTTAATTTACCTTCACAGATTTCCTTATTGTCTTCATTTAACTTTGAAATATCATTGAAAAAGAAAGGGTCGTTTTGATTTATATCAGCCCTTAAAGAATATAAATCTTTATAAAATAGTTTAATTTCCTTTAAAATTTCCTCCTTATCTCTAGTAGTTTCCCCATTTTCTTTGTACACCTCCCTAATTACACTTTTCCTTTTATTCGATTTTAACAACTGTTCAAAATATTGCGTATTGTTTTCTCCATCTTCAAACCAAGGTGCTCTTGATCTTATTTTAATGCCTCATACAATAAACACACACACACACACACACACACGCACTCGCGCACACACAATTATTATGAGCCTTAGCCTTATGATGAATTACTCAACAAATAGTCTCTTTTCTTCATTGTGTGAATAAGAATTAATATTGACAATATTCTGACGTCATAGTAAATAGATCAAGTCTTTGTTGAACTTTGTACAAACTTTCGCGCACTGCTCCCTTTTCAGTCGTACACAAAACCATTGCTATTCCCCAGAGTTATGCATTCCTTCAGAGAAACCTCAAGGTAATACATGAAAGCTGCAATGGAGAAGTCGGCTAGTAAGTCAAAATATTTCTTTAAGTTCTTTGTGTAATACTTATCCTGGATTATTACGAATCATTTTTTGCGATGTGAAATGTCTTTTTCATGTCTAGGCCTTTACGAATGTCTCCTACTTTAAATCCGTTTCAACTGCCGATTTCGGTTTTCTGTTCGTGTTTCTGTTCTTGCAATTTACTCTGATGATTGCAAAACGAGAAGCTTCAGTATGTCTGTATTCGATGCTATTTTCAATTTTGTTGGATATTACGAATCATCTATTTGAATGTATAGTTAACATAAACAATCTACCGAGGCCAATCATTTCATTCATTTCGATTTGACTTTATGTCACAAACCATGATTAAAACACTTCATATAAACTTGAAATCAATGCAGATCTGTGTATTTTTTTCTATAAAGCCTAGCTACTCCCATTTAGTATTTTTATGTTTAGTGTTTATCAATCTGATTAAATTTGATTCATTTTGGGATTTCATTCAACAGAACGTACGTAATTATTGTTGCTGTTGTTGTTTTAGTCTTAAGGGCGTGTGTCATTCAATTATGAATATTTACGCCATTAGTAGAACCTTCATTAGTAGAACCTTACCCTAGATCAATGAGCTACGCCCATAAGATTATAATCATGATAATACCTCACAAATACAAGTAATCCACAAAAATACAAACTATGCTGTTTAGTGGATTACTCTTTTCCTTTAATATTCGACTTAAATTATGATATGCTTATATATTTCTTAATCCTAAAATGAATTGAAATATAATATAATTGAATACTAGGCATTGCATTGCAGGGCCAGCAAACTCGTACGGCGGTCGGTCCATTGCACATAATTATGAAGAGCTTAATTTAAAAAAGAACTACATCCACTTTTGATGAAAATTGAGTTATTGATATCAGGATTGTTCACTTCAGTACCCGTGTCTCAACCAAAATATTAACCTAAATTTTTAGAGCAATTATGAAAGAATCACCTTCTAATATCACTTTTCCTTAGATGCCTTTAAAAAATCTGGTAAACAATTTCTTTTTTTCTCCAAAGTTACAAAAATGGATTTATAGCTCCTTTTGGAATTAAACTCTTCATATATACGTAGATCTAATGTCATCTTTAGCCATCATCCATGTCCTACTGTATGTTTACAAATGATCCTACTCGTAACGTATAGCTCAAATCAAAGATGGCGGGCACCTAAAGACCGGGCAAGACAAAAGATCTTTCATCCTTGGAATCGCCCTCCTCTTCATCGCCGTCATCTTCGGCATTGTCGTCACAGTGGTCTTGGTCTTCGTACCTCAGGGGGACTCTGAGATGATGACCGATGAGGTCGAGATTATTCCAGTCCCACCTGGTCCAGGTCCTGCTCGTTCACTGGAACTTCTCGGTTTGGGACCCAAACTAGGACCGACTGGACTAGCTAAGGGTAGGTTTTGTTCTTCTTCTAAATAAAGGCAAATAAAATTAAGGGATACATACCCTGTTGCACATAAAGTTAGAATAAGATTTCCCACCTCTTTTCAGTGAATATTATTGTGAGAACATGATTCACTCTCGACAGATAAAGTTTATAATTATTCTCAGTCACTGTGACTCTTTAAATTAATCAATACAGTTCTGAAAAGATATCAACTTAATCTATCAAAAATAAAACATATTGTCACAATCACTTCATCAAAACAGGTAATAACATATTATTCCAACTTCATGTGCAACAGTGTATAACACTACATCAACAAAAGTGACTATACCCTTTCAAGAAACATTGAATAGTTCAATGTAAATTGTTAGTGCACTGTACTATGTTCATTGATATATGTGACCAAATGCCAACACCACTATTGCTATAAGGCTTGCGTTTTTAATGCAGCTGCACTTTGCAGTAAAGTTGCATTTAAATATTCAACGTCTTGTCAGGGGTGTACTCACTTCTTTGTGGATACATTATAACCTGTCCTACGCATTTGTGTATTCAATCATTAGTACGATTATATTTTTTCTCCCTCCATCTACGTACGTCTCCTGGTAAACCTAATAGGCATGGGTTTAGCTTCGGATATGGGGAAATTGGGCCAATCCCCCCCCCCCCCCTTCCTAAAAAAAGGAATCCCCCCACAAAAAAAAAGATAAAATCGAGGCGAAGAAACCAAAGAGAATGGAGAGGGGACTCGGAGTTATAATGTATAAAGTATAATTATTATTGTGCGAACCTACATCTAACAAGCTTTGCTTTCAAGTAGGTTCGTTTTTTCCATTTCTTGTAATTAAATCATTTTGCATTACAATGACTAAAAAACAATGTCAAAGATATTTCAATGCTCATTTCTGTTATATCATTACGTTTATTATTGTTTGTGATTGTTTATATTATGTGAAAAGAAATGAAAATAAATTCGCTCTGTATAGAGCTACTACCTACCAAGAGGGAATACCTTACTGTTCCTCAACGACAGGAACCACGCTACGTCACCGCTTATAGGTACTGGTATAAGATGAATATCTCTGCGTCTATTCCCTCCCACCCTATACTAGTATTCTCTCCTCATATTCCTATACTCATAATCGACGATTAGAAATTATGATTACTTGTTAGAAACAGTTGTAGAGTGCTATCATGTATCTGGAAATTTATTTCCCGTCGTACATTTAAATGCTTTATCTACTTAAAGATGATAGCAATAATTCATCATAGATCATAGGTTAAAAATTGATTACTTACAACAAAATTTTTTGACCGAAATGATTGATTCACTTTCATGGAATATCTAATTTATAACATAGTGATATATATGGAAGTCTATGATGAAAGGGAACCTCAATTATGTGAAATTAAGTGATCACTAAAACATACAGTTAACGACTAAATATTAAAAACTTTACCAAGTTCTGTCATTGCTTAAGTATGTGAAAAAATATTATTTATCTTTCTTGGTAACGTGACATATGAAAGCTTACACGTGAGAGCATTCAACAAACGCTCTCATCCAACAAGATCCCTTCACTTCTTAATGGGTTAAGAAAAATACAAAAACGTCAAATTTACGAAGAATATAAATAGTTTAGTCGTGAATTGTATAACTTAGCTTTAATAAACTGTTTCAATAAATGCAAACGAACTGTCACATATTCATAAAACAATATAACACGATTTGTTTCTCTCTATCTCTCTTTCTCCGTCTTTTTCTTTTCTTTTTTCGCTCTTTCCCCAGTGTTGTACAACGAGACGCTTGAATACGGGTCTGTGTTTCAGTATGGTGCTGGGAATATACAGCTAGTAGTCATCGGTGACCTTGATATTATGAAGGACGCATTCACTTTGACTGATAGCTTCAATACACGACGTATGGTCGTCAATGCTATGCTCTCCCCGCTTCAGAATGAAGGTAATTAATCATAAATCAAATCAAATTAAATTAAATGTATTGAAATGGAATTGACAATTTTTAAATATTTTTAAAAACATAAAAACATGAATAATAATTAAAACAATTGAAACTAAAACCCCGTGATAATTCACTATGACCGGTTTCAAATTTATCTGAAGAAATAAAATTGAAACCGGTCATATAGTGAAGAAGTGAACTATCAAAGATTTGTAATTGATCTTTAAAAATTATTATCTGTAAATTGCCGTGACGAAGGAGAATCCGAATTGAATTTTTGTTCTACATGTGTAAATACATAATTGAGATAAAAAAATAGGTTTTTTGTTGAAGTTTTCGTTCAAGTAATTACAAATCTCTACTTTGTTTTGTTTTGTAATGTTTCTTGGTTTTGTTTTGGTTTTACCTGACTGAGCATAAGAATGCATGTGTATGCTTGTAATAAGTTAGCAACCAGGGACCAACGGCTTTAAGTCTAGCTCCGAGGGACTTGGCAATGAGGATTACTGACTTAGCAAGGGGCACAAGCGCATCAACTTGGTTTCGAACCAGGGACCTCAAGGTCACAAGACCACTGCTCTACCACTGAGACATCGCGTCTCCTTGGTTAAATGATAATCCCTTTAGGTCATGATTTGATTTAAATCACTTTTTGTTCCATTGATATTCAGGTTCCACATTTCAAACCAGTGGTTCTCCGTGGCTAGAGATCCGTCAATTCACGGGTCAAACCATCCTACAAAGCAACTACCTCCAGACCTACATCCAACCACGTATCGACCAATCAGTCGACTCCCTTATGACGTCAATGACAGCCAGGCAGGGCTCTCCGTTCAATCCCGAATGGCTTCTTCGGGTCTTCTTCGTCGACGTCAATCACCGGATCTACTTCGATCAAGGTCTTGTGTACGATGACGACGATGACCAGGCGTTCGTCAACGATATTTTTAGTTGTCAGAAGATTGTGTTCGAGCCGAATGCGACGATGCCGGCGTCACCGGTTCTTCGTTCTCAGCTTCCCCTATTCCTCAACCCTGTAAGATAACAATGATATTTCTTAAACGAAATAAAAATCCGTATACAGCAAATGCCAAATCCCCAAACATTCGCCTATATTCATAAATTAACGTCCTTGTTTTGGGGCCAACTGTAGAACTTGTAACGTAATTACAAGAATTGATAATATTACTAAACGAACTTTGTTAAGTATAAATTACATAGTTTGAAATTATTAAACTAAGAACGTTGAGTAATATAACGAAGTATTTCGTTTTCTATGTGTCCCAAACTGTAAATCACACGCTGGATTATCATTGTGTAATGTTTATTTGGTTAACCCTAACCCTAAAGTCCTTTGGCAAGACATTAATTTACATTTATCAATCTTCACCAAAGTGTATATGGGTACCTGGTTATCGTCGGGGTAATAAGATCCCTCAATAACAATAGTATTGAAGCTGATGAAGATACCCCAGCTGATACAGTAAACAAAATCTAAAAAAGTTAAGCAACTATTCCAAATAAACAGTGGTACCAAAACACATCATTATTATATTACAATATAGCATACAACTACAAGTCATGGCGATGGACAATGGATTTGCATTTAAATATTCAACATTTTGTCAGGGGTGTACTCACTCTCAATTTCTTTTTTGGATACATTATAGGGCATAATATATAAACGTACAGATGTACAGATTCTATACATATAGTTCAACGAGATAATACAAAGGAGGTAATTAATATTTTAGAAATATAACCATGTGAATGGTTTTTATAATTCAAATCAGTTTGTATAGATGCACCCGGCACTAGAGTCCTTTGGCAAGACATTAAATCCACATTTACCACTCCTTACCAATGAGTTATTCTGTTTACTACTAAATATATTCCCATAGACTTAACACAGGGATCACCAGGTTCCAGTAAGCAAGGAGTTAATGGATACCTGGTAATCTCTGAAGTATACATGCAGGGCTGTTAATATCAAAAGGATAGAAGCTGATGAAGATACCCTAGCTGAATAAACAACATCTGAAAAGGGAAAGCATTTATTTCATTTAAAAAGGGCATGGTAAAAAACAAATCAGAATCATAAATACATAACCCAGGCCAATGGATTTGCCAAAGCAGGGCATATAACATAAAATATACATCTGAACATATTCGATACATATATAGTTCAATGAGATAATACAAAGGAGGTAATTAATATTTAAGAAATATAACCGTATGAACGGTTTTACTTCTTTTTCATTTTGGGTTAGCTGCACCGATTCGCGAACCACACCAAGCTTTTTGCCTCCGAAGCCCTGTCCTCATCCCCTACACCCCCTACTGATCACCCTGACCCTGAGAGTTTGGTGGTCATGTATGAACGGTTCATCAGTGGTCTCAGGGCTGATGGGAAGACGACGTGGAGTGATCCCGATGATGGCTGGAGGTTAACGGTGGATCTGTTATTCACTGGACATAGTAGTATCCCACAGATAGTACGCTGGATGAGTCTGTATCTAGCGGCTTATGATGACTATCAACAGAGGGTAGGGTTGTTATGATTTATTATCATTGTCGTTATTATTATAATTATTATTCTTATTACCATTATAATCGTCATTATTATTGTTATTATAATTATCATTATTATCATTATTTGTATTATAAATATAATAATGGTAAAAAATAATGATTAAAAAAATTACAATTATTATTATTATTGTTAACAATTTTGTCCTAAATCCAATGTCCAGTTGGTAAATAAACCAGGAACTGGACTGCATCCAGAAACCTAGAGTTATCAGTTTTTATAATGATTTTAACAATTTATCTAACTTCTGATCCGTCAATCGTCTAAATTAATTCATCGCCCTCGATCCTCTTCTTACTCAGGCACGTAGCCAGAGTTTGATGTTTGGGGGGGGGGGGGGGGGAGGGGTTGGGGCACATACATGTTATCGATCGAGGTAAACAAAAAAGGGGGGTCTAAACAAGTTCAACCGATCTTGGAAAAAAAAATGGAGGGGGGGGGGGGCACGTGCCCCCCGTGGCTACGTGCCTGTTCTTACTAAACCCAAGACCTTCTGCAGAATAGGCCTATGCCTACACCAGTGCATTAGGAACGATCAATATGTCCCGCATCCCCCCCCCCTTCCTCTCTCTTTCTCTCTCTTAATCCAACTGAGAGGGGCGGCACTTTCCCGCAGCGCCCCTACCCGTACCCCATGCATACGCATAGTCAGGGCAAACTTAATTTCCTCTGGTTTCAACATAAGACCTACTACTATCATCAGCTCTCCGAAACCTTCATCACCCGTTAACTGCAATTGAATATACCTTTAATCCAACGATGAACCATACTCGAAAGAATCTCTTCTAAAATAATGGTAGTTTGTCTTTTTTCAAACTGAAGATTGTGCAGGAAATAAACTCTCTGGGTAACTACACCGACATCACCTACGAAGACCGGTTTCGTCTTCCTCTCACCGTCGCTTTCCTGACCGAGGTCGATCGTATTCATCATCACTCTCCGCTTGGTGTTCCTCGTTTCGTCACAGCAAACGAAACCGTCAATGGCTTCCACGTCGGAGCAGGCACGACCGTTATCTCCAACCTATGGCAGATTTCAAACGACCCTGCGGTCTGGGGTGATCCTCACGTGTTTCGACCAGAGCGGTTTTTCCTGGATGAAACCAGCTCAGACCAGTATGAACTGGATGCCGACAAGTTGCAACTCCACACTCCGTTCGGTGTCGGTAAGCATATCTTTCGACAACAAACACAATTTTTTTTTTAAATGATAAAAAAAATCAACTAATACCTTGTCCAGCAATGTGCAAAAGTGTCAACGCGCCGCATTACGTAAACCGAGAATAAGTTCTATGCAATGTAAACACGTTCCTTTCATCTCCCTGGTCAGACACAACTTTGGAAAACCAAGTAGCCTGCACCTACTCGGAAAACAGAGTATAACCCACAGAGGATAGAGTGCCTAGGTTCTAGGACACCGACCCCCTGGACATCCACCCCCCCCCCCGTCAACTACCCCCTAGGATAACCACCCTCTAGGGCGACTACCCCCAGGACAACTACCCCCGGACAACTAGCCCATAGGACAACTTCCCCCGGACAATTACTACCCCTCCCCGGACAACTACCCCAGACAACTACCCCCTATGGCAACCATCCTCCAGGACAACTACCCCTGGACAACTATCCCAGGGGGTAGCTGTCCGTGAGGTAGTTGTCCTAGGGAGTAGTTGTCTGGGGTAGTAGTCCTAGGGGGGTAGTTGTCGTAGGGGGTAGTTGTCCTAGGGGTAGTTGTCCTAGGGGGTAGTTGTCTGGGGGTAGTTGTCCGGGGGTAGTTTTCCTAGGGGTAGTTGTCCTAGGGGGTAGTTGTCTGGATACGCATTTTGTATATTTTATCTTATACACATTTATTTCATATCGCACATGCACACATTCGCACACCCTCCGCTCACAAACTTTTACACAAATACCACAACCCCCCCACACACACACACACAGCACACCTACACACACTAACATACTTTCTCTCTCTTTCTATCTATCTATCTTAGGGCTACGTTCATGTCCAGGAGAGAAGATCGCTCGCAGGACCCTCTTCAAGACCATGGTAGCCCTGGTCCAGGAGTTCCAGATAGTCCTACCAGAGGGAATAGAAGCAGACCTTGATCAGACAGGGGACTTCGCAGAACCCTACGATGTCAAATATGTAAAAAGGGTGTAAACTGACAGAAACATTTTCGTTTTGGGGGGACAGGAGCTGTTCTGGGGTTTGAGACGCTCAACCTTGTCAGCCCCCCCCCCAAAAAAAAAAAAAGAAAGATTTAAAATGAATTTTATATAAGTCATGTACAAAATGAAAACAAGGATTTCTCTTGTCCCCACTAATCATTCCCAACATATGTATTTATAACACAAGTCTAAAACGGTGTACTAAAATTATTTTACTTCATGAATTCCACACCAGTGAAAAAAACCTACATGCATCTGTTAACTTTTGTGGTTGATAGAAGCTTAATGGGCTTGCAGGGATTTGCACATTGAAAATCTCAAAACTGAATACTTTCCTAACACAACTGAGTACTTTCCTAACATATGGTGGCAAAATATTAATTTAAAGCAAAATTACAGTCATTTTTCTTTTTAAATTTGAATTTGGCTACTGGCAGTGTTTTAAACACGTTTGTTGTGTACAAAATAAGGGTTTTAAACTTTGTCTCAGGTAAAAAACCAGAGAGTATTTTGATCTGAAATTGCACATACTACATGTACATGTACTGTTATGAACTCATCTTGTTGCGACAGATACATTTTTTTAGGGTTTACAAATTCCTGATAGGGGCATTATTACATTTGATAGAATGTAAACTAGTCTAGATGGGACATTATTCTGGTATAATTGAGGAAAAATATATAATTAAACTCCTGTCTTCATCACATCCAGCTTTTTGGGGGTGCCATCATTAAGTTTAATTTATAGTAAAAAGTCTTTATTTTGTGTCCCACAAGCTGTGACAAAATCTTCTGGGGAAGGATCATTTTCATATGCAGCCACTTTTTAATAACCTGCCAGAATACCTTAGAGATAAAGGAACATATGACAAGATCAGGAGTAATTTGAAAACGTATCTATTTACTTCTTTGTAAGATCTCACAATTATGAACCCAGTGCACCATTTCCAATGCTTCTGTATTCTATTCTGTAAAGCACATAGAGTCATGTAATTATGCCTATGTGTTATGCGCTATACATGAACGTTAAATTATTGTCATTGTTATATTTTCCCATACATGTTTATGCACAAGTTAAAATCAAACACTACATTAAGATGTATGTAGAATATCTGACGAATTACAACTCATGTCTTCATCACATCAATTATTTTTGTTGTGCTATCAGTGACCTTGCATTTGCTTGTATCTAATATGTATATAGGAGGAGAGCTATTGGCAAAGACCATTGGCAAAGGGACAGATAATTGAGAGAGGGGTAGAGAAAGAAAGTAGAGGGAGAAGGGTAGACCTATAATATGTTAATATATACATGTTTATATATATATATATATATAGAGAGAGAGAGAGAGACAGGGGGAGGTAGACAGAGAGGGGTAGGTGAGAGACAAAGCGAGAGAGAGGAGGAAAAGAGACAGGAAAGAAATTGAGAGAGAGAGAGAAAGAAACTGAGAAAGAGAGAAGTAAGAAAGAGAAGAGTGAGAGACGAGTAAGTGAGAGACGAGTAAGAGAGAGAGAGAGAGAGAGAGAGACAGGGGGAGGTAGACAGAGAGGGGTAGGTGAGAGACAAAGCGAGAGATAGAGGAGGAAAAGAGACAGGAAAGAAATTGAGAGAGAGAAGTAAGAGAGAGAGAGAGAGAGAGAGAGAGAGAGGAGAGAAAGAAACTGAGAAAGAGAGAAGTAAGAGATAGAGAGAGAGAGGAGAGAAAGAAACCGAGAAAGAGAGAAGTAAGAGATAGAGAGATAGAGAGAGAGAGAGAGGGGAGAGAGAAACTGAGAAAGAGAGAAGTAAGAGATAGAGAGAGAGAGAGAGAGAGAGAGAGAGAGAGAGAGAGAGAGGAGAGAAAGAAACTGAGAAAGAGAGAAGAAAGAGATATATAGAGAGAGAGAGAGTGGGGGAGAGAGAGAGAGAGTGGGGGAGAGAGAGAGAGAGAGTGGGGGAGAGAGAGAGAGTGGGGGAGAGAAAGAGAGTGGGGGAGAGAGAGGGGGGGGGGGGGGAGATGAGGGTTAGGTGGAGGGAAAAGGGTAAGTGAAGAAAGTACAAATGATCAAAGAGGGGTAACCTTAATCATGAAACCAAGACTTTAAACATCACTGACACATAAGGCAATACATTAACGATATATGATACATTTTAATCTGTCTATAATCTCAATCTAACTCATTATATTCATCATGAGGCACAAGCACATGAATACAATATACAATACATTTAACCTTTGTTTACAATTTCTTTAATATTATAATAAACTGCACAATAGATGTACTACTCATATTTACATCGTCTCAACAAAACAAAAGCATTTAATTTTTTGTTTGTTTTTATTTTCATTTTTATTTAATTTTGTTTTAATTTGGAGGGCATACCATCTGTAGGATAATGCACTTAATTGGGAATAATAATCAGAAATGGACAGCCTTCAATCAAAACAGGTTTGTTTTTGGAAATAAAAAGTGATGTTTTCCATCTGTTTATAAAGTTAAAGAAGAAACAAATATGGGGAACATATATGTCATTATGACATTACAAGGAGGCGGCACACTGTCCCGATGACCAAACATTGAGTCCTATAACAAACTTACTTTCCACAGTTCCTTTCAGCTACTATACATAACCCACATAGTTAACTATAGTCCATTATACCATTCTACAATTCATATTTTGCTTTTAAACACAAGATATTTCACACACAAACAAAATAATATTTCAAAGGTCCTTTCAAAATTATTTTCAAAGTTCCTTACAGCTACTATACTGTACATACCAAAATTGGGAACCATAGTTCAATATACTATTGCCTTTTAAAATCATAATTGGTTCACCCTTGGTTCAAAACCTTTGTTCTAGATATTTTACAATTAAACAAATATTATAGCCAATAAGATACCAAATAAAACAATGACTAAAGGAAATATCTCGTGTAATGATAAATAAATATTCATTTTCTAATATCTATTTGCATTCTCATTCAGCGTAGTTAAGAAGGTCAGATAAACAGCAGTATTATACTTCAAGGCACTAGAAAAACATTTTGCTTGATTGTCATGATTAAGAATTTAAATATAAGCATGATTAAACTAAAGGAAAGCCAGCTATTTCCAAACATAAACAATAGGGCTTTATTTGTAATGTAACTTAATTTATGCATATGCTTTTGTGAAGCACTTCAATACAAATTATTTCATTCACCCAGCGTTCAAATAAATGTATCTTAATGGTCAGAACCAATTGCATACATTAGTTGTTAGGTAGGACAAACATTTTGGCCAAAATTTACAAAGGAGGTTTGTCGACAAACCTAGGTTTACGTGCGTCATATGACACGTTTCACTGCGTTTTTACAAACCAGGTTTGTAAAAAACGTGTCATATGATGCACATAAACCTAGGTTTATCGACAAACCTCCTTTGTGAATTTAGGCCTTTGGCTTTCCCTGCCTAACAAAAGTATGTGTATGCAATTTCTATTCTATTGAAATATAATTATTTGTAATAGGTAAATTAAATAATGTGCGTTGAGGCACTTAACTGTAAATTTGATTACATTCCAAAAATGGCATATTTATAGTAAAAACATATTGTTTAAAATATTCAACTACAAAACTATAGGTTTTTTTTTATATTTTAAAAAAAAAATAAATGTAATGCTTCCTGGGAGAAATTTCAATAACAGATCGATCAATCAATCTTATTTACTGGGTGTAAGCCACAAATATGTTTAAACTATTAAAACTCTAGGTGTTTAACTCCGAATTTTCCTTAAGTCTATTCAAATTTTTTGACCAAACTGTCCACACTGCAGCATCACAAGCAACACTGAAAATTGTGACGAGAAGTGAGAGAGAACATGGAAAGTCATATCAGGTAACATGATCACCTCATCACAAAGAAGATAGCTACAGTGGTTTGGGCATGTAACTAGATGGAAGAATAGTTTGGAAAATACCATCTTGCAAGGAGAAACTGATGGGAGAAGAAAGAGGGGCAGACTAACTAGGACATGGACTGATAACACCAAGCAGTGGATGAGAATGCCATTTGAATAAATAACAAGAACAACTGAAGACAGAAAGTCACGGAGAACCTGTGCCGCAGGTCCATTTCATTGTCGCCCCCAACAGCCTCCAAGCTTTGGGGCAGAGATAGATAGAAAATCGTGACATCCAACCTCAAAAGGGCACCAGTCATTGTAATCCAATCCAATGTTATAGTTATGGTGATAACTCCTAGATTTGAAGTCAACTCGCTGCAGTGATTGCCATTATATCCGGTCGATCGCTGTAAATGATAGAATAGGATGTTGGAGAATTGGATAATCAATGAGTTTGGCCATTATACATTTTAAATGATTTCTAATGGGGAAATTGTATTTACATTGGAAAGGTACATGTAGGTATTATGCATACCTAAATATAAAATTGAGTTTTAGTTGTGCAATTGCATTGTGACAGAAACTGCATGGAAGCGATTGCAGAAGGTTAATCATGTAGCAAAAAAGCATTGGCTTATACTGTGAGGTTTTGGAATCATCAAAGAGGTGGGAACCTGATCCTCTCAAGCTGAGAGACCATAAAAATCTGGTTTTATAGTGGAGGGGAAAATTGAAGACATTCAAACCTTTTTATTTTTTCACTCGACTGGATTTAACAATTGATTTGTAAATGGGGGCCACATTAAGAAAATGTAAGCATAAATGCAAGCTTGCAATTCTATACATCTTACATAAAACACAATTCCCATATAATTAAAGTGTACTAATCAACAAAATATATTGTGTTCCGTTTGTTAGGGGTTGCAAAATATGAGCTTCAAATCAGTGCTTCCACAAATCAAACTTCTGATTCTTTAAATAAGGGCCAGAATTTCCTTAGATTTTGCTCAATTTTCCTCAAATTCAGGTTTCAAGTTGAAATATACATTTCTTCCATGCCTCATATCAGACCAGGGGGGGCATTTCACAAAACTTGTCATCAGTGACAAATGACAATTGGTGTTATAAGCTACTGAAATCCTTGCTTCTGATTGGTTATCAGCAGATTTGTCAGTGATTTTTGTTATTTGACATTGAAAAAAGGATTTGTGAAACGCCCCCCTGGAGCTGTATGACACAAGTTGCAAGAAGTTCAAATATTACTTCTATGAAGAGATACTGAAAATTTAAATACACCTTCAAAAGCAAGTATAATACAAGCATATGTCGTCTCGACAAATCCACATGGTTTTTTATGGCCACCCAATTCCAATAATGCTCTATCTTATGTTGTTATCTGATGTATCACTTTATAGTTTTATAATTTTACCTTATTTTGTATTATTGATCGACTTATACTCTTATTCTGTTTTGTATATTTTATTGGAATTGAATAAACTGAACTTGAACTTGAAAAGTGACTTGTGAAATACTCCCCATACACATGTGCATGGTATAAGGCCGCATGGGTTATGTGCACAGGCTTTTATGTTATGCTCTATTTTCCCAATACTCCCTTTCTGTTAGCCCATAAAAAGGCTGGGTAAGGTTTTCTGAGGTTTATATGATACATTGTAGGTGTATACAAATTACTTTCCTTTTTTTAAGGTGATTGGTACATTAAGGTATGTATATTCAAAATCAATCTCCATTTTTAATAGACATGCATAGAGGCAAATATTGATTACTACATGGCACAAACCACATGCTTGAATTAGTTAACTGCAATCACTGTAAAACACATATCAACAGGAACGGGTGGTACCAGAGCCATCGATTAGGAGAGTTGGGCTAACCCGGTTCAAGTTGGGTACAATATGGCGAATACTGCTTTGTTGGGCAAGCACTAACGTGTTGTGACCAAGTAAAACCAAGTTGACCAAACTCTGTGTATTGATAGCTCTGGGTGAAACAAATGTACATGTATGCTGCCCTCAATGGACAAGAATAAACAACTTTAATTTCATCATTGACCATTCAATACAACTGAGACTACAAAGATAGTCACTAACGCAAACAAATTAAAGTGATTTCAGGAATGTTAATTGCTGGCGTGACTGCAATTCCTATAAACATAAAAGTGAAACTTCATTATTTTCTCAAATGATTCCTAGAATTTTAATTCCAAATAAGTTTATATTTAGAGGCCCGCAAACTTCCCTTGACCAGTATCATTTTGAAAGGTGCTTACATAGCTAATCAGACAGCAAGGTCTTTGTTATTTTGTGCATGCAGCATAGGCCTTTGCAGGAGAGATGGACATTATGGAGTGTTTCTACAGAAGGGCATACCTGGAAAAGTTTGAAAAGTAACAGTATGTGAAATCCAATGGGAACACACCGTTAGGCAGATTATTTGCAGCAGAGGAACTGTCACCGTGGAGTACTTATCATAGAGCTCTTTGATGGGTAAACCCTTAAGAGACGGCCATTTTACATTTTGCGATTTGGTTCAATAATTTTTCATTCATAGTTGTAAGAAATATAGCAAATGCACGAGTAGAGAGGGCAAACATAATGCACACAATGTATGCTTTTTTGTTGCAAGACTTAACTGCATTTGCTGCCATTAATTAACTAGATGGATGTTCGACTGCACTCAGTTGAAAATGATGCCTCGGCCAAGAGCAATTTTACAAACCAAAAACAGAAGCAATTTTTCAAATTCAATTTTGATTGCAATCCAATGTTCTCAGAGAATCGCGATTACAATTTATTTTTCATATATACATGTATGACCCTCTGACCTTTGACCTTGTGACCCCAAAATCTTATCAGTTCATCGGCGCTGCAAGATACACAGACGACCTAAGTTTGGCGGTAATCCATTAATCCGTTCTTGAGATAATGCGATCATGAGAACGAGACAAACAGACGTAAGGACGGACAGACAACCCAAAATCAAAATGCCTCTGGATAGCTATTCCATAACGGAGGCATAAAAAGATTCCCCCCTGAAAGTGCAAGTAAAAGTGTTACATACACATATCATCTTAGATCCTGTGTTGGAGCATCAGTAAATAGGATCTGCTATAAGGGGGTGCTGATCTATGTCTGGATCAATGGCTAGATCAGCTACTCCATGATCAATGACCTCATGAACATCCTTTACCACTGGAACTTCATACACATCATCACGATCAGGTGCAAGAGCTAGAGTGAGATCTATATAGGCATGCATACATACACACACAAGAATATCAGGGCCCCATCTTATAAAGAGTTGATATTAATCGCAACTTATTCGCTGTCGACATCGATCGCAAGTATACACATAAGAGATAGGGGATTGCAAACTCTTTATAAGACGGGGCCCAGGATTGATTAGTAGGAATATATACATGCATCATCTTCGATATCATGAACCGATGAATAGGTCGATTGACTGCAATATGTTACTTCCAAAATAAACATATTTGAAAGTTTAGACTTACTGATTATTTCGAAAATGATGAATCCATTTTTTTTTCTTCAATTTCACCTTAAATAGGACCCCAACATTTTTTTCAGCAGATAGATCTCATCTCGAGAGGAAAAACAAAATTTGAAAATTTGATCCCAAATTGACAGATTCAACGGTCCACGAAAACGGTGATGATTATACATTGATATGTTTTTTAGTAGGTTAGTAATATGTGAGTTAGTATTCAATGAGTACATTACATGCAACAGAAACCAGTCAATGCTTTTGTACTTAAAAAGAGAGGTTATCTCTCTCTCTTCACTTTGCAGGCAGAATCTAGTAAGAATAACCATCATGATCATACCCCTCCATTTTCAGACTCTAAATTTTAGAAAAAAGGACACCCTTTTCTGCTAAAAACTTTAAAACTTCTACATACTAAAGATCTAAACATAGAAAGTCACCATTTATTTAAAGGTACTGCCCCATGACTAAGCATAAATCTAACTACTAGGCAAACAACATGGACAGTTGTTTGCAAATTGCCCTCAAATATTGAAAGGGCAGAACAAGTATTGACTTAAGGGTGAGACTGAATTGACCAATCTTATCATTGTGTTCATAATATGAAGTGATAACAATGTCAAAGTCACTTGTTTACTTTCACATTATCCTTTCTTCTATTTATTATCAATGTTATTATCATTATCATTATTATTATCACTAAAATCATTAGTATTATTATTATCATTGTTAGTGGTATCATTATCATTGTAATTATGTCAATCACTATTATGATTATTACTATTATCATCATTGTTATTGTTATTATAATTAAGTTTATCATTATTATTATTTTCATAATCTTTAATATTATTATCATTACTATCATCATCATCATCATTATTATTATTATTATCATTATTATTATTAGGTGGAAACCTTTTGCTATATACCATGTCTTAATATTCATTAAAACATTGCCATTTACCCCAAAAATGACATTACATGCAAATGAATACGATAAACTTTACATGTACAAAAGTCCTTTTGTTCGTTTCAACAAACACAAATTGATACATTCCATTTCATGGGGTAAAATACAATAAATGTTGTGATTGAAATTTGTTAAATGAATGGCTATTGGAGAAATGTAAATGTAATGAATGGATGGATCAACGAAAACAGAGATGAGGCTACATCCATCTACTGACATCTTTAAAAATAAAACACTAACATAGTTTAAAGTAAACTAAAAATCCCAACCACAGTTAACTAATGATGTACAAGGGTTAAAGGTCAATTAGGTCAGACAGAGGGGTTTATATGGATAATTATGACAGGATATGTTTATAGATGTATAGGTAAATTGTTGGGTCATACCGAAAAAAATCAAAGCACATCTGGGACTGCATCATACACCTAAGGGTTTTTAATGAAATATAACACTCAAAATAAGGCTTCTTTTCAGTGTAGGTTAAAGTAAAGCATGACAATAACATAACAAAGCAATTAACTCATAATCAACAACATGCATATTAATGCATACAAGAGAAAACAATGCCCTGCGACAGAGGAGTAATGACGTCAAAACTTTAAGAAGCCTGGCTCCATGTAAACAGTCTTTATTCCAAGTGCTTTCAGTCTATTTTAATCTTCTCCTCCGTCAAAGAACATTACTTATTGTAGAGTTTTGTGCATATTATTGCATTCAAACATATTATGAGCAAACAAAAGATACAGTTTTCAACAATAAACGCAAGCACATGTGCATTTAGTTTGGAATATATTAGTGCAAGTGGTGAGAACACTTCCTATACACACTCATAAAGGGACATGCATTTTACAAGGCGAGCATCTTTGGTTCACTATAATACAGCTTGAGCAAACAACAATATTGAGTGATCACGCTTCTGCGTCTATGTGAGGCTCTATCACACCATCCGTATAACGTTAAACTTGTAACCCTAATAAGAAAACCTGATTTTTCGTCAAACAACTGTTTAACCTCTCTATTCGATGCCATTGGTGAACTTTGTATTTGAGTGGTGAAGTCAGTGAAAACGATAAATACATATACAAAGAATAATGTTTGTGTGACAATTGATTGCAGCTTATAAAATTTGACAGCTCTGTTTTTAAACAAATTGGTAACATATTACATGCCGTGTTTGTACACCACTCATTTCTTCATATAGGGATTCCTTATAAATGAATATGTGACCATGTGTGAGTTTTGCAGAGTAACCTTTGAAGGTGACCACTCTCTGGTTTGATCAAGCTGATATACCGCTATTCCACATTAGAAGATTTTTGTAAAACTGGAACAACAATGGAATTTGTTAACATTACTATGCCTAACAGGGCCTCAAAATAAATGCGGCACAGTTTTTGTATTCAGTAGGCTTGCCGATGCACCATGTGAGAGAGAGAGGGAGGATTGAAGAGTCCTGAAAAGGACTCTCGGTAATCTTTCTTGAGGGTGTGTAGTCCTGAATTGTTGTTGTTGTTTTAGTTTTAAGGGCGTGTGTCATTCAATTGTGAATATTTACGCCGGAAAAGGACTGTTGGTGTAGTCTTGAAAAAGACTGTTGGTGATTTTTATTTAATTGGTTTGATATTTTGAATTGATGTCATTTCTTTTTGTGATCATCATCAAAAGTATACAGCTAAAAATAGAAGAAGTTATGTTTCCCTCCTCAATGGTCATTAAATCATACCTCTAACCCTAATGTTTTGCATACAAGGCATTACTCTGCTCATAGTTGAGTGACAGTGTGTATAATTTTCATACCATTATGGATTTATGGCACCAAGTCACGCTACAAGAGCAATTAAACAAACAAGTTCTAGAAATTTCATCTCAAATGCACTATTTCAGCAATACTGAACACCAACTCTCACCTACATGTACACTGTAGATGTACCCTAGGAACTATATATGATGAAATGAGTTAAGATTCTTACCTTCTACTATCTTGTGATAGGAGAAATGGAGATAGAGGAGGAATAACAGATGGATGGATGCTACGATGCCTGCTATAATCAGCTTCTGAGATTTGGCCGTTGTTCTTGAAATATATACCATAACCTGTGTGTGAAAGAGAGAGAGAACGAGATGGTAGCGAGGGAAAAATGATGTAGAGAGAGAGAAAGATGATAGGGAGAAAGAGATTAGGTAGCAAGAGATAACAAATGATATACTAAATAAGAATTTGATAAACAAAAAAATGCAAAAGATTTGATTTGAAAAATGTTCAACACAATTTTGTTGACGATGTACTCAGAAACCTTTTTAAAAGATTAACCTAAATATACCTTATATTTAAACACAATATTAATAAATATCTAAAATGCATAAATTGAAATAAAGTAATAACATAACCAAATTTTCTTTTAAAACTAGATGGAACTTTGACTGCGCGCAGTCAAAAATGATGCCTCCGCCATAGAGCAATTTTACAAACCAAAACAGAAACAATTTTTAAATTCAAGTTTGATTGTAATCCATCTGTGGGTTTTAATGAAAATGCATGCACAAGCTATTTTTGGCATACATAATGAGCCATGTGACCTTTGACCTTCGACCTGGTGACCCCAAAATCTAATCAGTTCATTTGCTCTGCAAGATACATACATGACTTGAGTTTGATAGTAATCTGTCTATTTGATCTCATGATAATGCAATCACAAGCTATTGTTGGATACATAAAGACCCCTGTGACCTTTGACCAGGTGACCCCAAAATCGAATCATTTCATTGGCTCTGCAAGATACATACATGACCTGAGTTTGGCAGGAATCCATCAATCGGTTCTTGAGATAATGCGATCACAAGAGGGCGCTGCTCGGTAGCGACCACCTTTGGCTTTTTCTCTCTGTTTTGACTTCAACTTTTTCCTGTTTTTTTCACTTGAAACGATGTGTTAATGTTTATTCATCTCTCATCATGTCAGGTGAAACTCTTGTATTGCGTGTATATGCGCTTGTATTTGTCTTGTTCATCATTTCCTGTCATTTTGTGGTAATTGCTGAACACCCTGTTCCGCCGAATGGACTCACATACACTCGTTCTGATCTACTCGCACTCCGCCCGCGAGTACCCGTATCTCGGCCTGATGGATACGAACACTTTCCCCGGGAGATTAAGCCGAGAAAGCGCGGGAAAAGAGGAGGGACGCGAAATCGCGTTCGGAATCGTAAGTCAAAACCACCACTTCCAACAATTTTACTCGGAAATGTCCGCTCGATACGCAATAAAATGGATGAACTTCGCACTAGTACCCGTTCTCTTTATGAATATCGAGAATCATGTTTGCTCTGTTTTTCAGAGACGTGGTTAAATCAGTCTATACCCGATGAAGAGGTAGACATGGGAAACTTTCATCTGGCCAGATCAGATAGGACAGTTGATTCCGGGAAATCTAGGGGTGGAGGCGTCTGCATGTATATCAATAAGCAATGGTGTAATGACTGGACAATCAAGGAAAAACTGTGTACCCCAAATATTGAATTTATGATTGTTGGACTTCGCCCTTTCTACCTGCCGAGAGAATTTAGCCAGCTATTTGTGATGGTTGTCTATATCCATCCTGGAGCAGACGTGAGGGAGGCTAGTCAGGTAGTTGCTAATAGGATAAACCGTTTGGAAGCTATTTCGCCTGATAGCCCGAAATTTGTCATCGGGGATTTTAATCAGTGCACACTTGAAAATGTTTTGCCTACTTTTGATCAGTACGTTACGCAACCCACGCGTAACGATGCGACTCTAGATCGTTGCTATGGAAATGTTCCCAGGGCATACACAACAAAGGCATGTGCACAGCTCAGGGCATCCGATCACAACAATGTCTTACTAATGCCGTTGTATAAACAGAAGCTCAAAAGAAATAAGCCGGCAACAAAAGTTCGTCAGTGCTGGACCGAGGAAGCAATAGATGAACTTAGGGGATGTTATGAATCAACGGATTGGAATCTGTTCTTCGAATCGCACAACACAATGGATCAGTCGGTCGATGTACTTTCTGAGTACATTCGATACTGTGCTGAGACAATAATACCCGTGAAGGAACAAAGAGTTTATGCTAATGATAAACCGTGGGTCAGGAGTTCGCTGAAGAAGCTGCTACGGGAAAAAAGAGAGGTGTTCGGGAGCGGCGATCGTAGTCAGCTAAAAGAAGTTCAAACACGGATTGACCGAGAGATTAAGTCTTGTAAATTGGCTTATAAACGCAAACTTGAACGTAACTTTTCGCAGAACAACACTCAGGCAGCATGGCGCGCGATGGAATCTATTACCGGATACAAAGGCAAGAAAAAGCCAGTTGACTTTTCTGCAGACTTTGTCGATGAACTTAACCGTTTTTATGGTAGATTCGAAGTACATGACTTTCGTAAGGAAAACAGTGAATTGAAAGGTCACTTAGAATACTTAATTTCACAGATTAATGGTGGTAATAATAGAATATGTGTAACTGAGGAGAGTGTCAGAAAGGTACTAGGAAAGGTAAAGGTAAACAAAGCAACCGGCCCAGATGGCATTTGTAATAGACTACTGAAGTGTTGTAACCAACAGTTAGCTCCATTGTTATGTCGTATCTTTCAAATGTGCTTGGATACAGGGGTTATCCCCAAACTGTGGAAGACTTCCACAATTATACCTATCCCTAAGAAAAACAAAGCTAAGGAACCAAATGATTTCCGGCCGGTGGCGTTAACATCAAACATCATGAAATGCTTTGAAAGGCTCTTTCTCGTCGAATTGTTAAAAGAATCACAGGGTCTAATAGATCCATATCAGTTTGCATATCGGTCAAATAGAAGTGTTGAAGATGCTACCCTTGTTTTTCTCCACAAGATATATGAGCATCTTGATCATGCTAAATCGTACACTCGTTCACTTTTTGCGGACTTCTCGAGTGCGTTCAACACGATCGCTCCTCATTGTCTGGTACGAATGTTAATTGATATGAATGTGAATCCGAGACTTATTCCATGCATCCAAAATTTCCTCAGTTCAAGAATCCAGTCAGTCAAAGCTGGGAATCATCGGTCAAATGAAATGATGACCCACATAGGTGCTCCACAAGGTTGCGTTTTATCTCCCGTTCTTTTCTCGTTGTACACAAGTAATTGCACGAGCACCAAATCCTCTTGCAGTTTAGTTAAATATGCTGATGATACTGTGGTAACAGGCTACCTGTTCAATGACCCTCATGAATACATCTCCCAAGTTGAAGACTTTGTGCTTTGGTGTGACAACCATTACCTATCACTGAATACTAGTAAAACCAAAGAAATTGTCGTTGACTTCCGGAAAGGCAATACAATACATGAGCCACTCCGTATTCATGGAGACGTCATTGAGCAGGTACATGAGTACAAATACCTGGGAACAATCATTGATGATAAGCTTTCTTGGAAGCAAAACTGTCTGTCTGTTCAAAAGAAAACAAACACAAGGATGTTTTTCTTACGGAAACTAAAGAGCTTTCATATCGATAGAACCATCCTGAAGCTCTTCTACCAATCGATCATCCAAAGCGTAATGACATTCAATCTGATCTGCACTTTTGGTAACATGTCAAACGAGCAAAAGGGAAGAGTAGACCGAACTCGAAGAGTCGCACAGAGGGTTATAGGATCAGATCTGCCCCCTGTTCCAGCACTTTATGAAAAACGCTTACTTGCAAAAGTTAAAGTTATAATGAAAGACAATACTCATCTTCTCAATGATTGTTTCAGGTTCAACCGTTCTGGAATAAGACTGTGCCCTCCCCGTACTCGCCTTTCACGCTCTCGTAATTCATTCATCCCTAATTCCATACATGTGTATAATTCAACTGTGACGCGATAAATGTATACATAAGGCTACCTACCTATCCTTATAATCGTATATTTCCTACTGGATTTGAAATTGCTATTGTTGATTTTGAAAGCTGTCCGTTTGATTGCACTTCAATAGCTGATATTGAAGTGCAATTAAACGGATAGCTGGAGACTGTGGATCGGGAGCTAGCGGATGGGGGGGGGGGGGAGCTGACGGGAAATGAAATATCATATTATGAAACATTTTAATTTATGACGCATGTTACTTATTCATACGACTGTGCCGGTAAATTGTTAACTTAACTTTTTCAATCGTTAAGAGTTCATTTTACTGTAAAAGTGTTGCGTAATTATATCACGTATTTATAATTATGAAATCTGAATGTAAATGTATTTATTATTGTTATTTTTCTGCAAATCCAAACCATCTGTGGATCGGGAGCTAGCGGATGGGGGGGGGGGGGGGGGGTGGTGGCGAGAAATACTATATTATATTATGAGACATTTTAATTTATGACGCATGCTAAATGTAGGCAATAGGAAATTGAGGGGCATAATGCACACTATAAACAGTTATCCATATTTATGTACATAGTTTTCTATTGTTAAATGTTATATTACATTTTCTATCATTTGTATTTTACTGTCAAAAAAGCCATTGGAAGCAAAATTTCTATGTAATGTTTGCATGCATGGACCAATAAAATAATCTTGAATCTTGAATCTTGAATCTTGAAGCTATTTTGCATTCATAATGAGCCGTGACCTTTGACCTTTGACCTTGTGACCCCAAAATCTAATCAGTTCATTGGCTCTGCAAGATACATCCATGACTTAAGTTTGGCAGGAATCCATCAATCAGTTCTTGAGATAACGCGATCACGAGCCATTTTCGCATACATAATGAGCCCTGTGACCTTTGACCTTGGATCTCGTGACCCCAAAATCTAATCAGTTCATTGGCTCTGTGAGATACATACATGACTCAAGTTTGGCAGGAATCCATAAATCGGTTCTTGAGATAACGCGATCACGAGCCATTTTCGCATAAATAATGAGCCCTGTGACCTTTGACCTTGGATCTCGTGACCCCAAAATCTAATCAGTTCATTGGCTCTGTGAGATACATACATGACTCAAGTTTGGCAGGAATCCATAAATCAGTTCTTGAGATAACGCGATCACGAGCCATTTTCGCATAAATAATGAGCCCTGTGACCTTTGACCTTGGATCTCGTGACCCCAAAATCTAATCAGTTCATTGGCTCTGTGAGATACATACATGACCCAAGTTTGGCGGGAATCAACCAATCGGTTCTTGAGATAACGCGATCACGAGAACGGGACGTACGGACGGACGGACAACCCAAAAACATAATGCCTCCGGCTACTTTGTAGCGGAGGCATAAAAATTATAAAGTGGTCGTCTTTAAATTTGGCACCAATTGGACCTTCCATGGCCGAGACTTAAAGCTGTCTGTCCCCTGGTTGCTTGCTTACAAGCATAAACATGCTTTTTAGCAGTCAGGTAAAACAAACGATGTCTTATGTCTTTTGGCAAGACATTAATCTACATTTGCCACGCAATACCTAAGAGAGAAATGTGGACCCGGTAGGATGACGAAAGCATTTGTGTCAGTTATTACCTATGTCCACACGGTGACCATATGGTAGGAATACTCCCCAGGGAGTGGAGATGGTGCATATTGTGCGTGGTTGAATCCGATGATTGGGGTTATAATCTCTGTAAATCGCTTTAAGAGACGGTGTTCCGTATTAAGTGCTATATAAATCCAAATTATTATTATCATTATATTCTTACCATTTTAGCTGCAGATAATCCACCAAAAACTCCCCACATTGAGTAGAATAAGGTGTGTGAATCACTATGAAGGGCTGTACCCATAAACAATACTATGCAGTATGAAGACATAGCATAACCCTGAAAAGAACAAAGGAAAATATAAATTGAGCTGAACCACAATAATAATTTATGCATGCTTAGTTAAGTCTAGTACTACTACAACAAATGTATGTTTAGAATTATCATTTGCCAAAACTGCTTATACTCTGGTACATTTCGAATATGAATTAACAACTGCTTCTAAAACTACAACTACTACTACTACGGTTTGATGCCGTTTGGTCAGCATACAACCAGTTCCTCTACTACCCAAGTGTTCAATTCCCATATGTTCTACACCTGCCTGTCGACTACCGTGTGAGTCAAAAAAAAGTTTACACCTAGAAAATTGCTAATTATTTTAAAAATCATCTATGAACAGTAAATTATTATACATCTTATGAAAGAGTGTTTTATCCCAAATCATTTGTTATCATTTTTGTGAGGTATGTGTTCACGTTTGGATGAACATGAGGCATTGTTTGCAAGAGTGTAAAAATTGTTACATATCAGGGAATAATTTTCCTGGTATCGCATCGCAATTTGCTATGTATTTTTGCATGACTGCTATACAAAATATCTTTTGTGCAGCAGTTTTCTTCCATAGAAATGTACAGAATTTCATTTGAAATATTTATCCATCGGCTGAAATTGCTAATCAAAAAATTTGAGGAAAATTATTCCCTGCATATATATTATTATATACATTGTGTTTCATATTGTACCTTTGAGAAGGAAATAAATGTTAATAAATAAAAAATAATAACAAAAAATACTTACAGTCAATGTGAGTACTTGTAGGAAAGTGATGAATGTATTACAGACGTATGAAGCCGTGTAGAAGAGTAGAGAAGCCAGAAACCAGTAGCCAAAGCAGATCCCTACAGAGGATCCCATCAAGGTACCTTCTTTCTGTAAATCAAACATTCAATCTTTACATAGTAAGATATCATTCAATTCAATTCAATTCAATTCAAGGTTTATTAATGACATGTGTCGCAGCCTAATGGCTGGATTGGTCATGTGCAAAATTACATATACTCATTACATTACATAATCATACTTTAGTGAGGCACAATGTCTTAGTGGAACAGCAGTGGTCTTGCCCAGGCGCGGATCCAGGATTTCTTAGGGGGGGGGGCCCAAATTTGAAAATATGCGAGCCAAATATTGGTACGTAATGGTGACCAACAGTGACGTGATGCGGGGGGGGGGGTCGGTGCAGGGAGGGGCGAATTTCCCCCTCCCTCCTCCGCGAAACGCGGAAGCTTTGACGTTTCATTTAATTATTAGAAAAAGAAGACGGTTCGTTGTACCGTTCTCGAAAATAAATCTCGTCTGAATTTAGTTTTTGCCCTCTCGCGCGAAGCGCGGAAAATTTTAGGATTTATTAAATTATTAGAGAAAGAAAACGATTCGTTGTAGAGTTCTCAACTCTAAATTCTCGTCTGAATTCATGTTCCCCCCTATCGCGCGAAGCGCGGAAGCTTTTAAGTTTCCTTAAATCATTAGAGAAACAAAACGGTTCGTTGTACCGTTTTCGAAAATAATCCTCGTCTGAATTTAGATTCTCCCCCCCCCCTCCCGCGCGAAGCGAGCTTTTACGTTTCATTAAATCATTAGAGAAACAAAACGATTCGTTGTACAGTTCTCGAAAATAATTCTCGTCTGAATTTAGTTTTTCCCCTCTCGCGCGACGCGCGGAAAATTTTAGGATTTATTAAATTATTAGAGAAAGAAACGATTCGTTGTACAGTTTTCGAAAATAATTCTCGTCTGAATTTAGTTTTTCCCCTCTCGCGCGACGCGCGGAAAATTTTAGGATTTATTAAATTATAAGAGAAAGAAAACGATTCGTTGTACAGTTTTCGAAAATAATTCTCGTCTGAATTTAGTTTTTTCCCTCTCGCGCGACGCGCGGAAAATTTTAGGATTTATTAAATTATTAGAGAAAGAAACGATTCGTTGTACAGTTTTCGAAAATAATTCTCGTCTGAATTTAGTTTTTCCCCTCTCGCGCGACGCGCGGAAAATTTTAGGATTTATTAAATTATAAGAGAAAGAAAACGATTCGTTGTACAGTTTTCGAAAATAATTCTCGTCTGAATTTAGTTTTTTCCCTCTCGCGCGACGCGCGGAAAATTTTAGGATTTATTAAATTATTAGAGAAAGAAGACGATTCGTTGTACAGTTCTCGACTCTTAATCCTCGTCTGAATTCAGGTCCCCCCCCCTCTCGCGCGAAGCGCGGAAGCTTTTAAGTTTCATAAGATTATGAGAGAAAGAAGACGATTGGCTGAACAGTTCTCGACTCTTAATCCTCGTCTGAATTTCGATTCTCCCCCCTCCCGCGCGAAGCGCGGAAGCTTTTATGTTTCATTAAATCATTAGAGAAACAAGACGATTCGTTGTACAGTTCTCGACTCTTAATCCTCGTCTGAATTTAGTTTACCCCCTCCCCCTCCTGCGCGATTCGCGGAAGCTTTGACGTTTCATTAAACTATTGAAGAAAGAAGGCGATTCGTTGTACCGTTCTCGACTCTTAATCCTCGTCTGAATTCAGGTCCCCTCCCCCCCCCCCTCCCGCGCGAAGCGCGGAAGCTTTTAATTTTCATTAAATCATTAGAGAAAGAAGACGATTCATTGTACCGCTCTCGAAAATAATCCTCGTCAGAATTAAGTTCCCCCCCCCTCCATTCCGCGCGAAGCGCGGAAGCTTTTACGTTTTATTAAATCATAAAAGATTGGTATAACCGTTCTCGCCTCTGAATCCTTGTCTGAATTTAGGTTCCCCTCCCGCGCAAAGCGCGAAAGCTTCACGTTTCATAAGATTATGAGAGAAAAAAGACGATTCGCTGTACGGTCTCGATTGTTAATCCTTGTCTGGGGCGGCGGCAAAGCCGGCCCCGGAAGCTCAGAGGTTTTAGGCGTTTAATTAAGGTCATATGAGCATATTTTTTTTTTGTATACCTTATTATTTCGTGACACTGGCAGGTAACTATTTGGTGTTGGGTCCAGGGGGCGGAGCCCCCCAAAATCAGGGGCTTTAGGAATTAAATTACCGTCAGATGAGCATCTAAGGGCCCGCCGTAGGGCCCTTGGTGGGATTCAGGGGGCAGAGCCCACGGAAGCTTAGGGGTTTTAGGCATTTAATCACGGTTAGATGAGCATATTTTGATGCCTCATTATTTGTTAACACTGGCAGTTAACTATTCTTTCTTTCTTGCTCTCATTCTATTTTATTTCTCTTTAATATACTTTTTCAAACAAAGTGTGGGGGGGGGGGAGAGCTCGAGGCTCCCGATCCCCACCGTACCTCGGGCCCTGACATGTAGGAATCTCAAGAATCATATTTCTTGCCTGGCTGCAAATTTAGGAATTGGTCATTTTCCAACAAACACATACAAACGTATAATTTACTAAAAAGTGAGGAAAAAGTGAGGAAATGATGTAATTTCAGCATTATTTGTAATCCACCGTTGTGGAATTAGAAATAAACCACATTTGAATTTGATTTCCACTAACCCCCCCCCCCCCCCTCCCTATCAGTACGCCAGTATCTCCTCTTTTCCTTTCCCTTTCCTTCCTTCTCTCTTATTTGTTTTATGGGGGGGGGGGGGGGGTCAACAGCCTGGGAGGCAAAGCCCTTTCGACCCCCCCGATCTCCTTCTTCCCCCTTTTCTTTTCTTCTTCCTCTTCTTTCTTTCCCTTTCTCTCCTCTTTCCCTTTCGCTTCTTTTCCTTTTTTCTCTTTTTTTTTTTTTTTTTTTTTTTTTTTGCGGGGGGGGGCCAAGGCCCGCTCGGCCCCCCCCCCTGGATCCGCGCCTGGTCTTGCCACTGGAAGTCCCGGGTTCAAAACCAATTTGATGCGGTAGTGTCCACTGGTAAGGAATTAATCCTCATTACCAAGAGAGGACTTAAAGCCGTTGGTCCCCTGGTTACTAACTTAGAGGCTGTTCACACCGGCAGAGATAGCGCGGTCTAGCGCGCGCTAGACCGCGCTATCTCTGCGGTGTGGAAGGTACAACGTCGTTTCGGTCCGCCCAACAGCGAGCCACGGCGAGCCAACACTGGAGCACCTCTTGGGGTGGTCCACGAGAGCGCGCTATCTCTGCCGGTGTGAACCCGAGCTACGATAGCACGCCGGATTTCATCGTTCTACACGCGGGGAATTTTATACTCATTCTATTTTGGTGCGATCTGAATCTGAATCGGTACAATAGGCCATTTTCGTAATGTAACCAAATTTAATGCATAAGTGTTTGTGAGGTGCCTCAATACAAATTATTTCATTCACCTGATAGGAACAATAGTATTTCAATAGTCAGAATGCAACTGCATATATTAAGTGTTGCTATATAGGTAGGTCAAGCCATAATGCTTGTCCAACCTGACAACAACTAATGTATGCAGTTTGGATTCTGTCTATTGAAATACTATTATTCTTATCAGGTGAATGAAATAATTTGTATTGAGGCACTTTACAAAGACGTATGCATTACATTTGGTTACATTACGAAAATGGCCTATTCAGAACGTCACGCGTCATGACAACAGGACCTCTCAAAAAAGGGGGTGCAGTTAGACCGCGCTATCTCACTGCGGTGTGGATCCGGCGAATGCCAATGGGCGGACCGTGGGTCGCGCTACGATAGCGCGATCCATGGTCCGCCCACGGTCCCCCCTTGCGGTGTGAACACGCCCTTACATACACACATGATTTCTTAGTATTCAGGTAAAACAAATGAACATTAAAACCGAAACCAACTTTGAAAGGTAGAGGTGTAGGTGCTGTGGTATAGTGGTTCATTCACTTGACTCTTAATCCAAGGGCTGGGGGTTCAAATCCCAGCCCAGGACTAACGTCCTTTGGCAAGACATTAATTCACCATTTGCCTCTCTCCACACAGGTATTATAGGTATCCGGTAGGATGGGAAAGTCATTGTAGCTTGCTGTGAGCATCTGAAAAATGGCACCGGGCTGGAATGTTCCCCAAGGAGTTGAGAATGTGCATGCATCATATGCAGGAAAGCCTATGACTAGGTTGATAGTACATGTCTATGAAGTGCTTATATTAGAAACAAAAGTGTCTATCAAGTACAATATAAACCTAGAATATCAAAATTAATAACTTGCTACAATTTGAGTAGTGGTGTTTTGTACGCAATAGGCAGCATAATTAATCAAATGGCGATCAAACAGACAGACATACACACATACAGACAAACACAGATACCTACCACAATGTGTCCAGAGTCTTTCATTCCATAGAGCAGTATGGCAATCAGAGTGAAGACCACCATGAGAGGGCCATACAGTTCACCCACTACCTTCTGAAAAACACACAAGCAATAAAACTATATCAAATGAAGATCATGATATGTAGAAGGGAAAAGAAACAAATTCTCAAAAGTTTATTACATTTTCCAACATGAATAGTTCATTGGCTGTACAGTAAAACAAATATAAAACAGGATTCTTCCCGACTACTGTTGTGTAAAATTACGTCTTATGCATTTTATATCTAGCCTCTATTTACTTCTGGCTGAGAGAGCATCATAATAACCAGGCCTCTCTAATGGTTCATGTTGCTTCATGATTTATTTTGCTAATGAGCGTCCACCATTGATTTTCTCGGACTGGTAGAATATCCAATACTTTTCCACATGACCTTCAGGAGACAATTTTTTTATAACAATATCAGTGATGTCAACTGCCCAATAATCCACTTACCTGCGGATTACCAGTGAGCTTCCTTGGTACAAACGAAAACAACAGCCTGCAAATTGGCAACAAAAACAGAGACGTGGAAGTTCAATAAATGTTATATTACATGCAGATGAGTCACATTTTCTTTATAATGTTAATATACATGTACACCTGTATGTTAATATACATGTATGTACATTGTATGTATATTTCATATAAAATACATGTATACCGGTACATCAGTGATGCATGTCAAATGTTGCAATTCTTTATTGATGAAGCATAACTTCTTACTCAAACATCCTTGCATGACGAGAGTATAACAACAAATATAACAATGCTCACATCTTATCACAAATCTTCTTAGATTGACAGGTAAAAATGGGGTTTCTTTTGGCCAAGTCATCATATCATACAGCTACAATAATTTTCAACTGAATGGAATAACTGACAGGTGGCATGACTCAATAAACAAGTTAGAATACGTTACTTTGGGTTTAAAGGGGAAGTCAACCCTGATATTAAGTTGGTTTGCACAGAAGAATGAGAGGAGCAGTTTGAGCAAATTCTGATTAAAAATAAGAAAGTTATGAAATTGCGATCAATTAAACTCAAATTGGCAACTACAGTATGTGACATATCTTGCGAGCTCCCGTCCCATAATTTCTCAAACTTTTACTGACATGTTAATACTCTCATTGGTCTGCTTATATATAAACCAACTTAATATCAGGATGGACTTCCCCTTTCACGAAGTTCTCCCCCCCCCCCCAAAAAAAAAAAAAAAAACAAAACAACAACAACAACAAAACAACAACAAACAAACAAAAACAAGTTCTATTGAGAAAAATCTGATTTGTACGTACCTTGCAACTACCACTTTGGGTTCAACATCGAAGTATGGTCTGAGGATATCAATGTTGCCATAGATGTCAAATGCCTTCCTGGCTTGCTTTCGACTGGCTTGCCATACCTACGTCATAACACAGAGAGAGAGAGAGAGAGAGAGAGAGAGAGAGAGAGAGAGAGAGAGAGAGAATGGTATCACAGTGGCCATGGCTTCCTGGCATAATGTATCCTCATTGGCTTACCCTACTAAGAAACACATGCTCAACACAGCAAAAGAAAACAATACAATTATATGTTGCAATTCTGAGAGAGAGATGTAAAAATAATTTATAGAAACGATTTTGTTAATTGATTGATGTAAATGCTCACTTATTTGAAATCAATTTACTGGGAGTAGCAAGCGCAGGGACACATGCCTCTGGGCAAGTGTTGTCTTTCACTTGTGTGCACCCTGACCCACTTGCTGCTCCCACTCTTGTTATTATTTCATATTCTTATTATGTACATGTATTTTGTCTCTTGCCATTGTTTTGTACATGTACCTGTGCTTTTTATAATTGGGCAAAATGAATGATGATTATAATAATAATAATAGATATTTAACTCTTTTCTGCTTCTGATTCAAATTCTGCACCGCTACCTTAAAGCCCTACTGCTCTACTTGTAGCTACTTGCTCCCTCTATATAGAAAACAATGCCTAAGCGGTGCCCGTTGGTCCCCCGTGATCCTCTTTTTCTTATGTTAATTGAGAGCTGAGTTGATGAGATAACCACCTGTCAGTGACCATGCTGGGTGGTCTAATCTCTCCTGGCCAAACTAGTGCAGACAAACTTTAATACAATTTTTGTAGGGTACATGTTCACATTGTGAATGTGACAAAAAACACCTGTGGCATTCTACTAGTTGACCAAAGCAAAAATATGTAACAAATATTTAATCATTTATACCGAATCTGCCATCTGGCCCTTCATAGCATCCATGAAGGTTGTTTCAGAGGTCTTCTCTGATTGGCTATTTCCATGATCTGCTTCATCGTCAGTTAGTTCAGGTGGTTGCCGTACCAACGAGGGCGTGGTCTCATCGTCCCTCTCAAGGTAGCTGGCGTCAGATAGATCAATCACTGCAGATGCATTCTGGGTATGTAAGATGGTGATACAGTATTATAATAATATCAACAATAATAATAAGAAGAAGAATAAGAATAATGATGATAATAATAAAAATAATAATAATAATGATAATAAGGTCTGGAAAGTGTAATGGACATAAAATAGAAATCATGAATTTATTCATAGTTATTCTCTGACCAAGCAGATAGTCTCAAATTGCCAACATCTACATGTATGTGTAGATCATAAATGGCAGGAATTAATTCCTTGAAATGCTAGAGCGCCACAGTGGCTGCCTTGCTAAAGCCAGGGTAATAATCAGGGCAGCGCCAAGAGCGTCACAACGTGACGGACATGTACCGATCTACTTCAAATTAGAAACAAGAATGTCTGAAATGAACAAAAATACAACAAATGACAATTTGAAAATGTTTATCTCTTGTTTTCATTATTTTCTGAACTAGAAATAGAAACGGTCTTTTTTATATTTTACTACGTACTAACTACTATGAGTTATGAACATGGTATCTTCTTACAGTGTACTTGCAATTTTTATTCCCTCATCGCCAAAGCAACCACAAGTTTCATCATCGTTTATAAATTGTTCGATGTCATTAATAAGACATGTTTTCGCGCCCAATTGGATGTTTGAATCATTTGTGCCACCACTCTCTTAGATCTTTACTTTTTCGAACAGTTTGAGTAGAAGTAAGCGGCTTACTTTTGCCTCACAATCTCTTTGGGTAATTCAGAATAAAATCTGATTGATCGTAGCAAAGACTTTATTTTATTAGCCGATAGTATCAAAATCATGAATTTGTGAAATGGGTTATCCTCCTCCTGACATCTTAGTCAGTCGCGGACAAAGATAACTGTCATGGAGCTGGTTTCATGAAATGACCATGTTGTCAGTGTACATGTAGCTTCATACTTTTAAAGACTACAGTGCAGTGCAGTGCTGTGTACTTGAAGATCCAATTTACTTGTAGTTAAATAAATAGGGACCGTCCTAGATCTATTACATTTAATGCAAACTTCACTGTCTTTACTTAAGTCCTAATCATATTCCCTCTTCACACAACCACAGCCCGCGCCCACAGACAAATGAATGCCAAATTTGAAATTAATTAGGTGTGCGGCTCGTTGATATCAATAACGACAACGTATTTATTTCAAATTATGACCAAGGGCAAGGTCCAAGCCCTTTACTTAAGCCTTAGCCTTCGGGCACAAACATCCTTAAATTCCATTATAATGTTAACTTAAAGCTAGTCATGTCGTCCTGACATGTCATCGCAATGTTATTGTATTTGTAATGTTACTGCATTGCACCGCGAGCTACTACTACAGCGAACTCTGATGTTCAAGCCCGGCGCTCCGGCTGGGCATGAGCACAACACTCCGTACATACGTGGATCACAACTCAGTCATCGGCTGCTATATTGCACAACATAAATTATAAGTTAAATCACCATATCATGTATTCACAACACATTTTAATAACGAATACACGAGAACGATGAATGATATTTTTCAATGAGACTGATCGACAAAACCCTTCAGAAAATGCATAATTTAAAGTGTGAACGATTTTACTTACCATTTCGTCGTTTTTCGCGTTCCACTCAGAAAAATTTGCCATGGTGGAAGTTTCAGGCTCGTACTTTAGTTTAAAAATGATATAATTATATATTTCAATTATTTACAAACTAGGCCTAATACCATTTTTTCAACAAAAAAAAAAAACACGAATTTATAATGTTATTAATTTTTGTTTACCATTTGAGAAACTACAGGGTAAAAAAAAAGTATTATCAGTCTTTGCATAAAATCGTAAAATTTAAAAAATGACGTAGCCCTACGTGATGATTGTTTATTATTTCTAGCAATAAATCTGGCATTTGCTTAGAACTAAGATTTCGAGAAGCGATATTTTCAGATTTTAGGGTGAGGTAGGGGGGGGGGAGCTGGCACGTAGCCAGAATTTGATGTTTGGGGGGGGGGGGGCACATACATGTAATCGATTAGAGGTATGCGCGTATTGGGGAATGTGGCTTGCTGCTCTACTTTTAAAAAAAAACTTCCCACGACATGGAATGAGTGTTCAGTGTGGGACGTACAGTGATAAATGCAAAGTTATTTCAGTATATTCGAAATGACTTCTAGGTAACTCCTTTTTCCTCCCACATCCTTATCCTTTATTCTTTCTCTTGCGTTTAGAAACATTGTATGAAGCGCATTATAAATGAAATGTATTATCAGGTGGGCTGTATATAATACAGATCACCTTGTGTTTTCGTTAGAATATTTTTCTTATTTCTAACCACTTTTTTGTTAGCACGATAACTTGAAAATGGCTCAATCAAATGCCTTGAAATTTGTATAGGCATGAGGAAAGAGCACAGGTTTTCAACCTTGACCTTGATTGATAACGTCATCCAGGCGCAATTTTGTGAAAATCAAAATATGATCATATCTTCATAACGAAAAGACATTTCTCATTCATATTTACCAGGATCAAGGTCAATATCAGTCCGGTCAATTTCACGTCAAAAAACGCGAGCGTACGCCATTATTAGCAAAAGCATTTCATAGAGAATCGCGCGCGCGTTTTCGTTTGTCACGGCCGAACGCAAAATAATTCATCCTGGATTTTTTTTGGACACAGTATTCCTCATGTTTTCCCGAACAATTTGATACCATGTTTATCTCTTTATGATCATTAATAAGGGAATGAGCGTCCGTTCAAGCTAGATAACGTCCGTGCGCGCGTGCTCATGTAATACATAGCATATGGGCAACAATTACATGCCTACACAAAACCCTTATGACTCTTTGGGATTGACGGGAACCCTCAATTCTTTTTCATATTCGGTTAGAGTATGAGTCGGAGATGTGATTCCATGTCTCATTTTGCCATTAAGTATATCTTGTCATCATCATATTGACCTTGGAACTCAAAATACGAATTTGCATATTATGACGTCAGCATATTTATGGAAAATTGATTGTATCTCTTTAAATATTGATTGATTCTCTTCTTAATGTTAATATCTTGTAGTTGAGGCAATTGTCTACAAGTTAACTGCATATTATTTTTCATTTTGATGACATCATAGTGAAATGTGCGATTAAAGGTAACTTGACAGATTTTCTTAATTTGCGTGTTAAGCCTGTGGAAGGTACCAATTTAGTTCAAATCATGGATCTACATGACATTAATCTTTGAGCACTATCTAGCTTAGTTTGTGCTCTATGTAGCTGAGACTATGGGCTATAAAAGTTGTGTCTTTTGTTCTTTGATCAGATGGTGGGATCATGTTGAAATTTTCAACTGAAAGTTAAATTCGCAAATGTTGTAGAACATTGTAGGAATTATGCATATGTCACGTTTGTCCTATTTGTGAAATATAAACGTTAGCAGTTGTCTAGTATTCAAATTAAACAAAGAAACCCCTTTACTTTATATACTTTACTGTCAGACACTATTGAGTGACTGACCAATTTTTTTCCTCTGGTAATAAAATACATTATATGAGCTTAAAGGGTACATGAGCATTTGTCCACATCAATAACCCACTTCTTGTAATGGCCCAAAATAATCCGATTGAATCTATGCGCAGCACAATCTAGGTAAACATGACGGGTAGAGCAATTCATGGAAGAAGATGAAATTGTGAAAATGCATTCTTCGTTATGTCAATTAGGGTCAAAGGTGTAACTGCTTATTGTATGGGGTCAATTGTCATATATCGTCTCAATCTATCTTACATAGATCCATAATGGTCAATATACTACACAGTTGAAACTTTTCATATGGATAGACCTTAAAGGTAAAGACCAGTTATGGTCATGCGATTGCATTGTGACAGAAACGTTGTGGAATCGATCAGAAAAGGTTGATCATATAGCATATAAGTATTGGTGTATACTGCGAGGTTTTGGAATCATCAAAATGATAAGAAATTTGGCCCAGTCTTCGTAAAGTTACAAGCACTGTACACAGAAAGATGTATATGGGAATATACGCACACGTGCGCGACATGTGCGTTTATCTCTCACAGACCATGTAGATAAACTAATTTACCAAACATATCAATTAGTAGGCGGTTTCCCGGCAAAATTGTTATCATCATGTATTAGTCAAAACATATTCTTTCACATGATTGGTAATAAGAGCTTCCATTTCATTTTTTGAAATTGGGGCGTTTTTCAATACTGGTTTTTACCTTTAATAGGAAGAGCATTTTAGAAGATAATATAAAATCGTGAAAATACATTCTTCATTATTTAAAACATTAGCATACGTATAACCTAAATTGTCAAAGTGACAAATTCAAGTTATTGTTATTCCCATTCATTATTCTGCCATTAATTTGTTCGCAGGATATCTCATGAATGAATAAAACCATTATCATGAAACTTGCCATGATGATAAATATTAGCATAACTTAGAATTGTGACACTTTTCAGTAACTCAAAATCATCGTGACGTCATCCAGGCGCTATTTTGTGGAAATCGACTTTTAATCATATCTTCATAACGAGTCATCAAAACTGAACCATATTTAAAACACACGAACTTCAGGTCAAGGTTCGACATAACATCTCATCAAAATCCGCGCGCGTCTGAATTTTAAAATGCTCAAATTCACTTTTTAATCAAAACAGAGTATGTTCTAGGCCATTTAAAGAATTTCGAAAATTATGCTCGCGCGTTTTTGCGTGTAACGCCATTTCACAACAATGAAACGCAATTTGTTGTTCTTTCATGATATTTCATAACGGAATGCGCGTCCGTTTAAATTTGAAATTTAAAGAAAATCCCAAATATGTCAACTAATGTATGACTAGAAACTGGTAATCTAACAGATGGCCATCGTACAAGTTATAGGTCAACTACAGATCGGGTGATTTATAAAAAAAATACAAATACAACTACCTCCATAGCAGCTGGGATATACCAGAGATTCGCCGGAAAAATAACGATGTTTTAATGACGTCACTATATGGACCATCATTGCCCAAGCAGACGACATCCCATAGAGAATGAACATAATTGCAAAGCTATTATTTGTCAAATTATAATGAGTTAAGTGTATATAAATGTAATGGCATGTCAAACCATTCAAAAGGGGATATGACCCGATTCTGCTAACTAAAATATTTTGCTTGTAAATACACAGGATTGGGTTAATTAACAATCAAAGAAACCAGACTTTCAAATTGAAAACCCCCTGGAATGATATTAAGGACGGAATTGTTCCCTCTTGAAACGCCGAACATACCCCGATGTGTACAGCTGAATATACAATGGCGTCTTATTTTGTTTACAAGCGACAGATTCCTTTATTTTTGTATCGCTGCATTTGTCATCAAAATAAAACCATGCGCGGGGTTAAGAGTGAGGCAATAGATTATACATTTAGCCTGACGGTAGTGAAGTAAGAGAAAGGACACAAGAAAAGATGAAAACACAGGCACTGAAAATGTGTGAGATGTCATGGGGCATCGTCTGCTTGTGCAAGTCATGTCCATACTGTGATCTCACATATCTCAGTAGCGTTCGGAGAGCTCTTCCGGTGCTATGCCCATGCTGTATTTAAGCGTTTTGTAATTTATAATAATCGTTACTTCGAATATTTCCAAGCATTGAATTTTGATAACCTTGTCGAATCAAAGTTTCAAATTTGCAATAATTGAAATAAATTTAGTTTTTAAAATCAATGAATATCAACTTTAAGATAAATTGCCGTGTGCACGAGGACATGTAATACAGAGCATATATAGGCAAAAACATGATTACACAAAATCCATCACAGCTCTTTGGGATGCACCTAGCCTTTTGACAAGGCCTCGTTGACTCTGGCTAAGCGGCTGAGATGAGTCTAGATACCCGGAGTGAACGCGCGACCGAATGACGAATGTCTGGACAATTCGCACTGGCGTTCATTCAGGTTTTCGCGATTAGTCTCTTTATAGTCGCTCGGCGTCTATCAGGCATGTGGCCTTGTTTAAAGGCTAGGATGCACCTAGACCCCCAATTGTTCTTTTATTTTGATTATATGAGTCGGAGATATGATTTCATTTCTCATTTGGCCATTAAGTACATTTTAACGTCATCATAATGGCCTTGGAAGTCAAAATACGAATTTGCATATTATGACGTCGACATATTTACAGAAAATGATTGTATCTCTGCAAATACTGATCAATTTTCTTCTAAATTTTGATACGATGTAGCTGAGACAATTCTTCACAAGATTATTACCAATATCTATTCATTTTGATGACGTCATTAGATTTTTTGCTTAATATGCGTCTTATGCCTATGGGAGGTGAATGATACTACATTCCAGTCTAGACTTGTTCATTATGTTGCGTATGTAGTGCGTCGAAATATCAGTTCAATGATTGGTAGGCTCTGCAATCAGGCGAAAATTTGAGCTTGTTTAGTAAATTAATCATATAACAATTGTCTATCGAATTCATGAAGGGGGCGCTATACCACTTTTAATCATTTTCATCGTCATTTAAAACAAATAAATCATCATCATCAATATCTTTATTATCGTATTTATGAATATTATCATTAGATCATCATCGGCACACTTTCATGATACAAAAATAGCATACGGTATCACCTAATTCGTTAAAGTGACGAATTAAAGTCTAGTTATAATTGTTAATCATATC